TCTTCCTGCCTCCTCGTCACATGCAGAGAACTAACACACTAACACAAGCATATACATACAACATGGAGTATGTTTGGTCTACCCTTTGTCATTGTGAAAACAGTAACTTAAAAATCAATGTAGAAAAGAAATATGGTGTATAGAAAACTAGGATTTAGGAAAAATAACAATGTTGGAGGGTTTAAGACTTTTTTTAGTACCACAGAACGTAATATGTCTCCCTATCCCCTCCCCATCATACATGTTTGCATTCACATGTTCTTACATGCTCATGTGTACATAATCACATATTTTAATCAACCCTACTTGTGAAAACAAGTCAGTACCTCAGAAGGCCTATCTGTATACAATATTTAAAACCTTCCTCCTCTTTTCCTCTCACACTCCTGATCTAACTAGTTCTTCCAACCTCCATCCCTGCAGTACTTAGCATTTTCTTTCTTTATTTAATATGTTTACTATTATTATTTTCCTCTGTTCTCACCGGAATGCAAATGCTAAGAGAGAAAGGACACTTTTATCCATCTTGTTGACGGACAACAGAGCCTGGTACATAATAGTGTTTGTTGAGCTGCATGCACCACCTTCGTGAAGGAGAACGGGAACATCCGGGATACGGATAGCTGCCAGGTGTTCCAAGCAGAGATTCAATCTGAGGCAACGCTGTGATCTGACCACATTTGAAACCACAGTTTGAGTCCCTCACTCTCATTCTGTGTCTTATAAAACAGTTCCAGTCGAGCAGATAAACTTCTTTTTGAAATCTCCCATATGTTGTGTGTAAAGACTGAATTTTGAAGGTAGTACAAAAAGTGGGGAGGAACACGGGCTTTAGAAACAAACCACTTCATTGTTGCTTATTTGGTGTGACTTTGGGCAAGTTACCTAACCAAGGAGTCTAAGTTTTCCTTTCTGTAAAACGGGAATAAAATGTACTGGGGCACCTATTGGGTGGACTGAATACACAGTATGTGAGAATGCTTAGCACAGAGTAGGTGCTGTTTTATACTGGTTCTCTTTCCTTTCTCCACTGCTCCATAAAAACATCTTTCATTACATTTTTAATTTAATATTATTTAAAATATTTTCAACTTAGCCCTAATTCTGATTCCATTTGACTTTTTTTTTTTTGGTGAGATTATTTTAGTAATATATGTACATAGAATTTCCCAAATATTTACAAAGAGCCCATATACAGCATTCACCAGGGTATGGATTTCTTCAGACCTGATGGAAAAAGCAGATTATCTGGATTTTAAGTGCTGGGTAGAAATTCAGTGGGAAGAAGGGTAAAATTGCAGGATAAATGGATTGGAATTCTTTTGCTGTTGCTGTTGTTTCAGTCTTGTGCATCTGTTGTTTTTCATGGTAGCACATGAAGTTCTACATTCAAGGTTACCATTTGCCTGACATTTCGAAATCTTGATTCCTTTTGGAAGTGGTTTCTTTATTTGCAAACTACGATTGTTTCTTAGTCTTAGAAGTTGATCTCTGTTGATCACCTAGTTCTTTTCCCCAATTTGTTTAGTTGAACTAGACATGAGGATTTTTATAGGTGATTTCAACTTATTTGACCATTTTCTAGTATTTATTTTTTTTTTAAGAGAGTGAGGAAAGGAGAGGGATAGAGAGATAGAAGCATTGATGAGAGAGAGAGAGAGAGAGAGAGAGAGAGAGAGAGAGAGAGAGAGAGAGAGAGAGATATTTATCAGCTATTGGCTGCCTCCTGAGAATCCAGCCTGCAGCCTGGGCATGTGCTCTAATGGGTAATTGAACCAGTGACCTCTTGGTTCCTGGTTTGATGTTCAACCATTGAGCTACTCTGGCTGAACTTGACCTTTTTAAAAATTTTAAATACAGTTACAACAGTTTTCTTTAGCTTTTAAAAATAATTTCATTTGTGTATATTATAATGAATTCTTATTTGCTTCAGTGCCATTATGTGCTTACAGCAGAGGTTGTCTACCTTGGGTATACACTGGAATCATCTGGAGAGCTTTGGAAATACCGATGCTTGGGCTCGACCTGCATCTGAGGTTCGGCCTTAGAACTGGATTTTTAAAAGCCCCTCAGCTTTGTAGCCAAGCTTAAGAAACCATTGACCTAAAGGATTTCAGACATAACTGGAACATGCTTTCCTCTTTAGAAAGTAGGTAGCCATGGCTTTTCTGAGTGGTGTGATCAATCTGCTTTCTCAATCTCTTGCTTAGAATACAGTGAACTGATTAGAATGGGAATGGTAGAATCAAGTCCTTGACTTTGTTAAAGCACTTTTATTGTTAATCACCAAACCATAAATGGAATTAAAGCATATGAATAGATAGAAAAATTTTAAGGCTTTTAGATTCCTGTGTGAACAAGGAAGGAATAATACTTCTTGTTTTAAGCACTATGCAAATCAAAATCCTTTGGCTCATTATTTCAGTCAGAAATGAAAAAAATGTTTTTAGAGTCTATAACAAATACTACTTTATTGCTAGTATAATTAGGCAAACGTGGTTCTTAAACTTTTGTTGACTTTTTCACCTACTTTCAATGTAATAAGTAGTCTGTTACCATAAGAGGATCTTTGTTTACTCCAGTAACAAGATGTTGGACAAGCACTTGTAAAGTCACATAGCTCCCTCCCTGAGGTATCAGAGAGCTTCCAGAAATAAATCAATCTGAACTTTAGAGTATTCTTAGCTTTTATTCCGAAAAGTAATCCAGCCTACTTTCAGCTTGGAATTTGGAGCTGAGGTCAGGTTAGGGATATTTACTGTAATCTCACTGTTTGGTTTGAAGTATTGTGAAGTTCCAGAACATACCATATTTGTAGTATGTACAGCAACAGGGCTGCAAACTTCTTTGACATCTATGTGACCATATTAATATGGTATCTGAATGCAGTGGGACTTAGTGAATTGGTGAATAGGATAATCAGAATTGTGTCCAAAGCCTAGGTTTTCTATTTATTAATTCTTACCTTGATTTATTTAACTTATTTAGCTGGAAAGTTTCCATTGCTGGAAAATTTGAGGAAATAATACCTACATTATTGAGTGTATATTATAATGAAATGTTTCAGATTTTTAATATAGTACCTGCCCAAAGTTGGTCTGTAATAAGTAATCTTTCTGTAGTTTTGAGTTTGAATTATTCTAGAGAATTATTCTATAAAAGTGATACCTGAGAACAAATTAAGTTCTAAAATTTCTTTAATAATGAATCTTATGAATACTTATTATTTGGGGTGATGTATATAAATCATACTTTATGTAGAAAAATTTCTGAATTTTTAATAAACCTTGGAATCTCCTGATAAAGATATTAATACATTTGTTTATCATGATATGTTTTATACATTTTCATTATGTTTAAAGACATTTTACAAGAACTCATGATTCTTACAATATGAAGGGAGAAATTGGAAGGTAGATAGTATAGAGTAGGCAGTATAATATAATAAGGTCATAAATACCTAGATGCCTATATACACAATGAAAATATAAGTGAAGCCGAGACCGGTTTGGCTCAATGGATAGAGCATTGGCTTGGGGATTGAAGGGACCCGGGTTCGATTCTGGTCAAGGGCATGTACCTTGGTTGCGGGCATATTCCCAGGAGGGGCTGTGCAAGAGGCAGCTGATCGATGGCTCTCTCTCATCGATGTTTCTAACTCTATCTCTCTCCCTTCCTCTCTGTACAAAATCAATAAAATATATTTAAAAAAAAGAAAATATAAGTAAAACCTAATATAGGCCATGTTAAAGAGTAGCCAAAACAAAAGAATCTTACCTAATAAAAGAGAAACATGTAAATTAACCATCATTCTACTACATACTCAGCCAATCAGAATGAGTATGCAAATTAACCCAACAAAGATATGTAGGTGAGAAGCAGCCTGCTACGAGGGGAAGCTGGGCAGAGGGAAATACTGGAGTCAGGCTCAGCACAGAAGCGAGGATTTGCTAGCTCCTGTGGACTTGCTGGCTCCCGGGCGGGCCAGGAGTGGGGACTTGCCAACTCCTGGGCCGCTGGGAGAGAAGCCAGGGGAAGAAAGGCCTATTTTTGCACGAATATCATGCAATGGGCCTCTAGTTCTTTAATAAAAAAATGGTTATTTCATTCCTTTGTGTGCCTATAAGATGATCATAGTAACAACTGCTCCTATTTTCTGCCTCTCAAAATTGCTCTTATTTTTAAAGTCATCATTGAAATGTTGTTTATTTTATAGTCTGCTTGCTCTCTTCCCAATCACACACCCCTTAAAAAGGAACATGGGCTGCATTTTGTCAGCGTGTGACCTCTGCCCGGCACTGTTTCATTGTAAACGCAGTTAAGTTTATGGCATTAGGTTGAATGTTGTATGGCGTCCCACTGGCTTTGACATCAGAGAGATGTTAATTTCAACCCTCACTTGATCACTTTCTTTGTAAGGATTTCTCCTTGCTGTGCTCCATTTTCTTATCTGTAAGACAGACGGGGGTAAAAGTTTCTACCTCATAGTGCTATTGAAAGATTCAGTAGTGTCAGTGGCCCAAGACAGTCAGTGTTCAGTAAATGGTAGTGAATATTGTTATTGTTGTCATTAGCTGTGTATGGCATGTTACTTATTGCATGTAAATATGATGTGTGACTTAAATAAAACCCCCGTCTCCAGACTGCACTTTTTAGGACAGGCAACTGTCACCTGGCATTTTACCTAAGGTTTAATAAATTAACAAATATGTGTTGATTGAGTCCATTAACTTTCACTTTTACTTGGATTTTCAAAATAGTATTGGTAGATACCACAAAATTTCATGAAAGTTGTTTTCTAAAATGGCTTTGTTTTAAAATCCCCACAGGTATCTTTTTTCCCCCATAACTTCAGTGGCCTGAAATCAGAGTAGTCTACCCAGATAATATGACAGGCACTTCCCGTGGTTTGGAGCCATATCTTTGACGAATGCGGGCCTTCCAGAGGTCCTGAGAGCTTGGTACAGAGCACACACTGCTTGCTAGTTGGCGTGGCAATCATGCCATCTCTGCCTCAAGAAAAAGGTAAGCTGACTGACTTCATCACATCACAGAATACAGATTACAGGTCGTAACTGCTAGCTATTCTTAACAATTAAAAATTGGGGATTCTTAAAGAACCAGAACTTAAAATTTGTGTTCTCTGGTATGGAATTCTTATTATTTCAATGATATTTGGTTGGTTTACATTTCTCTTAAAGTTATTCAGGGGCCTTCTGCGTTGGATCTGAGTACAGAGCTGCCTTTACAAAGCACACTGAAAAGGAGAGTCAGAAAGAAGAAAAAGAAGGGAACAATTACAGCCAATGTTGCTGGGACAAAGTTTGAAATTGGTAGGTCTTCTCAAAATCATGAGATTTTCATACCTGTTAGAAAGTCTAATTTGATGTTGAAAAAAATGTAGAAATTCATAATTATTCTTTTTTATGTAATGTATTTTAAATGCCTTTTATAAAATTTTATTTTTAATGAAATATTTATCATATTAATAATCAAATAGAGCATCAGTATAAGTGAAAAACTTCAGTTATTAATGGAGTAATTTTGATTAAACTCAATGTTAAAATAAAGCATAAAATGATAAGAACATTAAACAAATTAAAATGTTAAATAGAAAATGAACAGTTTAAAAATTTGAGATTTTTACTAAAATGAGAAGCTGACATATAGTAAAAACATTTTTCTCATTTTAAAATAAATCTTTTAATGATGCTGCTGCTTTTTATTAATAATGAAATTCTAGTCTTTATGTCTAAATACAATCTGTAGTGTAGGTAGCAGACAAGAATTAATTCCTGAAATTAAGATACTTTTGCCCAGCACTGTAAAGTTCATTTGAATAACAAGCACTCAAATAATATTCCTCTTTTCTTAGTTATTTTGCATTAAAAGAGTTGAGGAAAATCATATGAACCTCAAGGATATTAATTTTTGTACCCTTTATTAATATTTGAGGATCTCATTTTCATTTACATTAATTCATCAAAGCTCAGCAGCAATCAGTGAAATATTTCAGTGGGACTGAGTTCCCCCAACACTCTGTGCCAACAGGTGTTCCTTGGAGGGAACCATGCTGAGCATGTTGGTGTGAGAGGACGAGATGTGACAGGTCAGGGTTTATTGCAGCATTTTTTTTTTTCTGAAGGAAAAAACAAGAGTACAGTGGCCTTTGTAAAAGTGATTGATGGCCCGACTGATGTGACTCAGTGGTTGAGCGTTGACCTATGAAGTAGGACTTCGAGGTTCGATTCCGGGGTCAGGGCACATGCCTGAGTTGTGGGCTCGATCCCCAGGGTGGGGTGTGTAGGAGGCAGCCGATTGATATTCTCTCTCATCATTGATGTTCCTCTCTCTCTCTCTCCTCCTCTCTCTTCCTCTCTGAAATCAATAAAAAATATTTTTAAAAGTTGATAGCTGGGTGGTGTTAACTCATCCTCTCACTTTGAAGTTCCTCATAGGGTTCATAAGGAACCTTGATTTAAAGGAGAGTATTTAAAAGAAGTTCCCTCTCACTTTCCCAGGAAGTGCTCAGAGGGCTGACGGGGTATTAGTGTTCTCCGTACTGATTCTGGCTCCATTTCTCTCATCAAGGTCTTCCCAGTTATTTCTGAGAGGGCCACACAATGCGCCTCATGTCCTCAGGAACAGGTCTGCTCCCGAGCTGCTGGCCTGACCTCATTGTCTTCTGACTGTGAGCCAGTTAAAGGGGTCTCCCAGGCTGTGTCCCTATTGCCCGGTCCCTCCCTATGACCTCTAGGGGGCACAGCAGCTCCTGAGCCCCCAGGATGCCACAGCTGCCTGATGGGCTGTGGCAGATGAGAGAGGAACAGCTCTTTCCCTGACTCTTTCTTAGGTTCACCTGCCCTTCAGACAGCCTCTCATGCCAAACGGCATCTTCAGCTCACAATGCCCTCCTCAACCTCATCCACCGCCAGTCACTGTCCTCTTTTATGCCTGTGTTCTAGGCACTGTTGCATAAAAAGTTCTTTCTTTTTCCTCAGCTGCAAAACAAACAAGAGTCCCCAGGATTTGAGACCAACAAAAGTTTGCTCATCAGTATCATACTTGAGCCAAATAAATTCAGACAATTGATTGCTTTGTACCATTTCTCCTCATAGTGGATATCAGTAAAACTTTTAAAAATAAGTATTTTGCTTACCTCTATTATAGGCAAGAAGGAACTTGAAATTTATTGGAAGAAAAATGTCGATATGTTAATTATAATATCTAAATTAGAGAAGAGTCTTTAAATAGTTTGCACTAAAAAACAAGCTTTCCTCTGAGCACATTTTTTTTTTTTCTCCTGGTAAGATTAGAGGGTTTGCAGATAGGAGAGAGCCAGTTTCTGAATCTGTGCAGTGAATTCTTTCTTTCTTTCTTTCTTTCTTTCTTTCTCTTTCTTTCTTTCTTTCTTTCTTTCTTTCTTTCTTTCTTTCCTTTCTTTCTTTCTTTCTTTCTCTCTTTCTCTCTCTTCTCTCTCTTTCTCTCTCTTCTCTCTCTTTCTCTCTCTTTCTCTCTCTTTCTCTCTCTTTCTCTCTCTTTCTTCTCTCTTTCTCTCTCTTCTTTCTCTCTCTTCTCTCTCTCTTTCTCTCTCTCTCTCTCTTTCTCTCTCTCTCTCTCTCTCTCTCTCTCTCTCTCCTCTCTCTCTCTCTCCTCTCTCTCTCTCTCTCTCCCTCTCCCTCTCTCCTCTTCCTCTCTCCTCCTCTCCCCCCTCCCTCTCCCCTCTCCCTCTCTCCCTCTCCCCTCTCCCCTCTCCCCTCTCCCCTCTCCCCTCTCCCCTCTCCCCTCTCCCCTCTCCCCTCTCCCCTCTCCCCTCTCCCCTCTCCCCTCTCCCCTCTCTCCTCTCCCCTCTCCCCTCTCTCCTCTCTCCTCTCTTTTTAATTTTGCATCCTGAGTCAACATGCTGACTTGGTTTTAATTGCTAAAAATAATTGGAACTAGGGAGGTGGAAAGTGTAGCTTAGGTCTAATGATCTAATGACCAGGGGCTATTTTTCCCTTTTCCCTTTTGTACCCAGCCCAAGGTCATAAAAAAGCCAGGAAAGTACATTTTGCTGATAGAGGTGTTGTCTCAGCTGTGCATATGCTCTCCTTGTGCTGTGAATAATCACTGCGCTCTTTCACAGTGTCGTGTCCCTGTTAAATCTCTGAGGACTTTGGGTGCAATCTAAAAACAGTTCTCAGTTACCGCTGAGTATAATCTGGCCCTGGATGAATTGTTATAACTCAAAATAAGGTTATGCTATAACTAATGGATATTTTGCCAACAAAATACTTTGAGCTAAAATGTGTACATATCAAAATATGTTTCCCCATTGGATATATTTCAGAAGGATTTTAATTTTGGTTTCACTCAACCTTTGACTTGCAGTTCGTTTAGTAATAGATGAAATGGGATTTATGAAAGCTTCAGACGAGGATGAAACGAGTAACCTGATATGGTGTGACGCCGCAGTCCAGCAGGAGAAGATCGCAGAGCTGCAAAACTACCAGGTGGGGAGGGAGCCGTGGCCTCTCATTGGCCATTAGGAAAGCTACACGCACTCCCTCATACTTTTCTTTAGATGAGGTTCTTGCTATGTTGACACTCTCACCTGAATAGCCTATTTTGTTGCTGTGCAGTACTGACTTTGCATGGAGTCTGCATCCTTTCAGATATACTAACTTTTAACCTCTTTGCACCTTTAAGTAAGAACTGATAGAAGAAAACCTTTACTAAACTGGTGTTTTGCATTATGCTTAAAGAGGAGTCATGTGGAATAGGTTGCCTAGAGAGACCACGGCCTGGCAATTCCATGTCCATTATAAATCTGGCTTCATTCTTTAATTTTTTAGGATGTGTTAAAAACATATTAAAAAAAGTCAAATGCATGGAGTTTTGGGCAGTTCACATTTCATGCAGTTCTTCCATTAGTATAGAGGGTAAAAGAAAATAAGTCCATGTTCACTAGTTTTTCTGCAATGCTCATCTGTATGAATATTGTACATTTAGAATGTAAAAGATAATTTAGATAATTACCAGTTATTCAACACCAAAAATTGTAACTTTAATGTCATTATAAACACCCTTTTGACTTCTTTAAAATTGTGCAATTTTATTCTCTACATAATCAATTACTATAGATTCTTTAATTAATTATAGGTCATTTAACTTAAATATTTTCAGTTTATTAAAATGAAAAGTAAAAGATAGTGGTAACTGTATAATAGTATAAATGACTCTATTCATTAAATCAATGAGGATATTAATATTTACCTTTTTATTTTCCAGAGGATCAACCATTTTCCAGGAATGGGGGAGATCTGTAGGAAAGATTTCTTAGCAAGAAATATGACCAAGTAATCTTCATTTTCTTATAATAGAATAAATCTGTTATAAATTTACATTTTGAATATTAGAGTGCTATGTTAGACAAAGTTACATTCATTTGAAATGATATTTTGATGGAAGAGAGACAATTTTAGATCTAGGAGGGTCTGAAAAGTTCTTGGGTTCTATTCCTGCACTTGGCTGAGGAGGTAATCGAGGGTCAGAGAAATATCTTGTACAAAGTCAACACAGAATTGGTATCAGAGCTAGACCAGAAACTTGGGTTTTAGAATCTCAGCGTTCTTTTTACTTTTTATTCAATATGTTCTTATTTATTTTCATTTAAACCTTGCAGGATCTAATCTGTTACATTACTGTGTGTGTGCATCTGTATTCATATGCTGGTTAGTGAGCATCTAACATGTGCCAGGCACTGTAGTAGATGTGTGTGAGCACACACATACACATAGACCACATTTATACAGGGTGGGGCAAACATAAGTTTACAGTTGTAAGTTTGTGAAACACTGTTGATTCTTGCATTGTTATTTACTGTATTTTTCCATATGAACAATTGTAAATCTCAATTGTAAACCTACTTTTTGCCTCACACTGTACATGCCTCCCCAGGAATATTCATGCACATACATTTTTTTCCGAGGCCACTGTTTAGAGGAACAATCTGCTTTTATGGGAAAAACAGTTCACAGGTACTCAAGTACCGAATGAATTGGAGAATTTTTATGCAGTTTATAACTCTACTGAATAGATTATTTTAGTTTAAGAAACTTGACTGATAAATTGTGAAAAATTTTAAGAGAAATCTTTCACAGAGAAATGTTAGTATGATTGTATGTACAATTAATGAAATATCTGTATGTATCCAAATGAAAGTTAAACATCCATCCACTCAACATATATTTTTGAGTGCTTATTTTTCCCCCTAGAGACCGCAAGCTGTGAGGTAAACTAGATAAATAAGGCCTGTCCCTCCCTAGAACTCACATTTTAATAAGGAGGAAGGCTGACACATACATTACAGTTTTATGGTGCCGCGTTAGAGGTAGAGTCAAAGGTTGGTGGTGACCACGATAGTGGGAGAGATTATTTTTGAGCGAAGAGGGAAGGCTTGCTGGAAGAATGAAATTGATATGGATATTGAAAAGTGTATAGGAATTAAAAATGTTTATCTTGAATATTTGTGTGCTTTAATTTTTTCCAAGGATAGATGTGAAAGAATGTTATTCATAAATACTACATGGTTAATTTAAAAGTATTATATTGTTCTAATTGAAGTTTTAACTTGATCTGATTTTATATTATTATTAAAAATATAATAAATAGTCTGGCTGCTGTTGCTCAGTGGTTGAGCATCGACTCATGAACCATCAGGTCATGGTTCGATTCCCAGTGAGGGCACATGCCCAGATTGTGAGCTTGACCTCCAGTGGGAGGTATGTGTGTGCAGGAGGCAGTTGATCAGTGATTCTCTCTCATCATTGATGTTTCTATCTCTTTCCTTTCCTTTCTCTGAAATCAATAAATAATGTACCAAGATAATTTAGCTTGTTGGCTTAATCTGGGCTTGACACACAGAGTTGGTAATTATATCCTTTGTCATAATAGAAACGTAACTTTCTTACAGGGTTCTCTTGAAAGAACACTTGAAATATGGTAACTGTATGAGCTTCCAACTGTGGCGGTCAACTAGATTCTAGATTTAGGTCCTATCTCTCTGCATACTACATTCTATGGTTTCATTTTAGTTTCTCCTAATTTTATTTGGGAATAATATATGCTACATTATTTTCTCACCTATTAAAAGACTTGGCATACATTTATTAAAAAGACACTTTTTAAATAATCAGATTTTAATATATAATATTTTTAAATATTTCTCTTAGTTTATTTTTATTAAGAACCAATGTATACAAACTAGTTAACATTTGGGATTCATCAAAAATAAACATTTATCCCTGTATGATGTTTCACAGTGGTTAGAGCATCAGCCTATGCACTGAAGGGTTGTGGGTTCGATTCCCAGACAAGGACATGTATGTGGGTTGCAAGTTCAATCCAAGGCCCTGTTGGGGTGCATGCAGGAGGCAACCAATCAATGTGTTTCTCTCACATCAATGTTTCTCTCTCACTACCTCCCTTCTTCTCTTCCTTCCATCCTCTCTAAAAAATCAGTGGAAAGAATATCCTTAGGTGAGGATTAAAAACAACAAAAAAGTAAACATTTGATACTATTATCTTTAAGGTATGTATCAAATAGGCAGCCTGATTTATAGCAAATACAAAAATACTAAGGCATGCATTGTAGCCATAAAATTACATGTATAAACATGTGTAGTTCACATAAACAAAACCTATACTGACTAAAGGTTTCACATAGTTTTTTTATAAAAGGAATTAAACTCCAAAAAACACCAGAGTAATAGGCAATCAAAACTGCTCGCTATAGGTGACCCAGAGGACTCAAAATCATCTTTAAGAAGCAATATAAATGGCACCTGGCCATGAGCTATTTCCTACTGCCAATCCCCATTCCTGAGGAATAGTTAGTGACTTTCCCCATGTTATCTTGCTTTATATGCCTTTATTACCTCTATTACATTGCATATAATTAATATCCTATATGTAAATTTCTTAAAAAAAAACCCATATTATATCCTCAGTGCCTGGCACATAGTATGTACTCAAATATATGTTTGATTTACTAAAAGTAAATTAGTACATAGGACAGAGAACTGTATATTCTTTTTAAATTGATGTATCACCAGTGTCTAGAAGAGTGCCTAGCACTTAATAGATGATTAATAGACATCTGCTGAATGAATCAATCAATAAATAGAAGGCTTTAAATCCTTGTAGTAAATGTCAGGATCACTGGAAGAAAATTTAGAAAAGTTTGAATAGATATTACTTTTTATACTATCTCTAACAGAATGATCAAGTGCCGGCCTCTGGATTATACCTTTATTCCTCGAACATGGATCTTCCCTGCTGAATATACTCAATTCCAGAACTACATGAAAGAATTGAAGAAAAAAAGAAAGCAGAAAACTTTTATAGTAAAGCCAGCTAATGGTGCAATGGGTCATGGGTAGGTATTTTTCATCTATCTATCTATCTATCTTATCTATCTATCTATCTATCTATCATCTATCTATCTATCTATCTATCTATCTATCTATCTATCTATCTATCTATCTATCTATCTATCTATCAAAGCCAAGTGATCAGAATGACTGGAAAGACCAGTTACTATGATGTGCACTGTGGCCAGCCAATCTCCTGCAGGCCCTCTGGTGGTCCCTCCCTGCATCCTGCCTTACCCCTGATCTTGCCTCCCTATCCCAATTGGGGACGGGGCCGGCTAGCCAACCTTCTGGTCCCCTCCTCCAGTCGACCAGACCCCACCCATGCACAAATTCGTGCACTGGACCTCTAGAGAGTGTGTGTGTGTAGAGTTGGAGGGTGGGAGAATAAATGTGAGTATTCACTCATGGCTGAGTACTAATATGAAAAACAGGATAAAATAGGATTCTGATCACTGCTATTTTTTAAACAAAATTTGCATTTATAATAATTTTATATAATCTTGGAGAATAAAATTCAGTGGATACCACAGAGCTAAATTTACTTGGAGAGAAAAATGGGAAGGGAGTTACTCTTACATGTGTCGTCTTTGCTTTACAAATATATCTTTTCCTTTTATTAAATTTATTGGGGTGACACCGATTAACAAAATTATACAGATCTTAGGTGCAAAATTCAACAACTTATTATCTGTACACTGTATTGTGTGTTCACCACTTTGGGCCAAGTCTCTGCCCATCACATTTATCCTCCCTGTACCCTTTTCCAACTCCCCCAACTCCTCTCTCCCATTCAGTCGCCTCACTGTTGTCCATGTCCATGAGTTTTTTCTCTTTTATGTTCACTCCCTCCACCCTTTCAGCCTCCCAAAACCCCCTTCCAGCTGACGGCCTGCTCTCTAGCTACTAGTCGGTCTCTGTTTTGCTCGTTTTTATCTCTATGTGTCCATGGTGATTGGATTGAGAATAAGTAGAATACATTAAGCTAAAGTACCAAATAGTAGACATGCTGGCTGAGAAAAGATTATATAATTTATATTTCTTTCCTTTTACTTTCTTATGTTAGTTTTCTTCAATGTACTTTTAAAAAAAATAGTAACTTAGTCTGCTTTTAATAAAAACTCATGAGTCATTTTGATCTTTTGTTTTAAATACTTTGGGGAAAAAAGGTTTTGGGAAATGTAGCTGTTCAACAAATTTCCCTTTAATTTTCAATAATAATTTAATCAGACATTATTTTTAACTGTGGTTTACTAGTTTAAAAAATAAACATGTAATATTAGTGGAAATTTTATGTTAATTGTTTAATGTAAAGTTGGTGCTGTATGTTAGTCTCAAAGTAAAAATTTTGGGGGTTTAATTGAAGTTCACATTTTTCTCAATTTTCTTGTTAAAAATTATATACATACATACATATATATATATATATATTTATACTCAGGGGTAAAACATTATTCAGAAGTATTAATCTGATTTGACGACAGTATGAAAAATAGCTGAAAAAGCACACTGTGCTGCTGGGTTTATCTCATGTAATGCAGCGAGTAGCTAAGGACACCTCTGCCATCTGTGGAGTATATCTATTTCCTTGCTGATCTTTTGTTTGATTGTCCTCTCCATTGTTGAAAGTAGGCTGTTGAAGACTCCAGTTGTTATTGTTGAACTACCTACATCTACTTTGAATTCTATCAGTTTTTGCTTCATATATTTTAGAGCACTGTTGGTGGATACATATATGTTTACTAGAGGCCTGGTGCATGAAATTCATGCATGGGGAGGTTCCCCCCTCAGCCCTGCCTGCACCCTTTCCAATCCAGGACCGCTGGCTCCTAACTGCTCACCTGCTTGCCTGTCTGGTTGCCCCTAACCGCTCCCTACAACCAGCCTGGTCACCCCTTACTGCCCTCCCTCCCCCCTGCAGGCTTGGTGGCCCCCAATTGCCCCCCTGCCAGCCCCTGCCTGCCTGCCTGATTGCTTCTAACTGCCCCCTGCTGCCGGCCTGGTCGCCCCCAACTGCCCTCTCCCTGCCGGCCTGGTTACCCCTAACTGATCCCCTGCCAGCCTGGTTGCCCCACACAGTCTGCTGTTCAGTCATTTGTTCGTCCATCACTAACCCTCCTGCTGGCTGGTTGCCCCTGCAGCCTGCTTGTTCAGTCATTTGGATGTTCCTCACTAAATCCCCTGCTGGCCTGGTAGTAGGCAGCCATATTGTGAGGGTGTGAGGGTCAATTTGCATATTATCTTTTTATTATATATGATTTTCTAGTGTACCAATCTAATTTTCTTGTCATTTATTTAATTATATATATTTTTATTTTTTTTAGTGGTTACTCTGGGATTACAATTAATATCTCAATTTATAGCAGTCTTGTTTGGTTTAACATCATTTTACTTCCAAAAATTAAAAAACAACAACAAAACACAAAAAATCCTGATCCTTTATAGCTTTGCTCCGACTTATTGTCACAAAATACAACCTGTTCATTGTGTGTCCAATAACATAGATTTTACTAGTAATTACTGTTTTATGCAGTTATGTTTTAAATAATATAGGAACATTGAGGAGTTACAAACCTAAACTATACTAATACCCTGTTTCCCCCAAAATAAGACAGTGTCTTATATTAATTTTTTCTCCCAAAGTTGCGCTAGGTCTTATTTTCAGGGGATGTTTTATTTTTCCATGCGCTAGGTCTTATTTTCGGAGGATGTCTTATTTTCGCGGAAACATGGGTAGTGACTTTTATGTTTACCATGAATCAACTTTAGTGGTGAACTTTATTTCTTTGTGTGTATTTGACTTACTATCTAGTGTCATTTTGTTTTGCCTGAAGGATTCTCTTTAGCATTTCTTGTAGGCCAGATGTACTAGCAAGAAACTCCCTCAGCTTTTGTTTATCTGGGAGCATCTTAATTTCTTCTTTAATTTTAAATAGTTTTGCCAGCTATAGAATTCTTGGTTAAAAATTCTTTTTTCTTTTTCTGTCAGCTCTTTGAATATGTCATTCCACTGTCTTTTGACCTCCATTGTTTCTGATGAGAAATCAACTCTTTATGTTATTGAGGATTTCTTGGACATGAAGAGTAGCTTTAACCTTGCTGCTTTCAAGACTCTCTGCCTTGGCTTTTGACAGTTTGTTTATGTATCTCAGTGTGGATCTCTTTGAGTTTGTCCTACTTAGTTCATTTATCTTCTTGGAGATAAATGTTCTCCATAATTGCCTCCCTAAGTAGTTGCCTCAGCCGGGGAGAGTTTCCAGTTAGGCAAGATAAAAGCCAGCCCTTTGAGGTCCTCCAAGGAGCCACTACACAGGTTAAAAAAAGGCAACCATCAGAATTTGGTCTATTCTGCTCCCTCTAGAATCAGAACCATTACTGGAAACATGCCTGTTATTCAAGCCCACTGGTGAGCTGGGGGTAGAGAGTTGGTACCAGAGTAAGTTAAAATGCCACAAAGCTGTTTTACATAGATTCAGCTGAGAGTTTATTTTAATTTTATTTTAACTTATTTTTTGATTAAGTGATCCTTGGTTGTTACAAGCTTTTGGTTAGTTTCCAGAATTCCAGAAAAGTTGATTCTGACAACTTTCTTATTTCTATTGTTTTGTAATTCATTGCTTTTGTGAAGGCACAGACTTTGGAGTTACCCATTCCTCTGTAGTCTTCTTGAGTATTAGCTATAATTTTATAAACATGTAGATTCCATATCAAATTGTTCTTTTGATTCTTTTTCTAAACTTAGGATTTCTTTGATAAGAAATGGTGACAAACTTCCATCTCAGGATCATTTGATTGTTCAAGAATACATTGACAAGCCTTTCCTAATGGAAGGCTACAAGTTTGATTTACGAATTTACATTCTGGTAACATCATGTGATCCACTGAAAATATTTCTCTACCACGATGGACTTGTGCGAATGGGAACGGAGAAGTATATTCCACCTAATGAGTCCAATTTGGTAAGTGATACCAAACAGAATCTATGTTTTGATTCATGGATTAAACATGTACTTTTTAAAGAACCCATTATATCTAAAGGCTATATGAATGAAAGTTACTTGTCTTAGGTTCTTATAGTCTAGAACAGGGGTGGGGAACCACCTTTTTTCTGCCAAGGGCCAATTGGATATTTATAACATCATTCATAGGACATGCAAAAGTATCAACTTAAAAATTAGCCTGCCATATTTAGTCAAGCATTTAATTAACTCACCCCTAATGTCTTGGCAGGGCCAGACCAAATGATTTCACAAGTCTTATGCGACTCACGGGCTGGACATTCCCCATCCCTGATCTAGAACAACCATTTTGAACTGAAGTGCCACAGAAAATTTTAAAACATTCAATACCTGACTAACTAGTCAGAGGCATTAACTTCTTTGCCCTTAGATTATCAAATGAAAAAATGACAATAGGCAGCACAACAATAGCTATTCCAGTTGTGAATAAATCAAAATTATACTTATTTTTTGTCAGATTGGCAAGAAATGATATTTTTGTTGTGCTGCAGAATTTTAGTAATTAGTTTATATGTGCCATGAGATGAGAACGGTTGAAATTGCTGGTCTAGAATGATTGCATTTACAAACAAGATTACTTCCAATCTGTAGACAGCTTTGGGAAAAATCAAATATAAAACAGTATCCACTCCAGGAAGGCTAATCAGCAAGAGTTGTCCCCCTGCAAGCACAAGGTTAGATTTCTAAGCACATGTGTGTATGCAGTAGCCCTGGATAGAAATGATTTTTCTATAACTATAAATAAAAAAATAAGATGCCACTAGGAAGTGTAGATAAAATGTTTATATAGTTCCTCAAGGAGGATGCTGTACTTGAACAGTGTTTATACTGTTGTATAAGAGTTACAGTTTAAACATATAGAATGTGGGAGAAAGTATGTGAAACAGAGGAAGCAAAAGATATCAGAAAGTAGAGTTACTTATTTTTGCTGGAATAGAGAGAAGATTGTAAATTTACACTGAGCAAATGTGAAATAGAGACATAAATGGTCTGTTTTCAGTGTGATTTTCAAGTCTATTAAACTGAAATGTAATATATTTTTTCATAAAGTAATACACTATAACTTATAGTTTATATAAAACCAACTTTTATTTCTTGTATTTGTTGATTTATTAACTAAAAGTAAAAGTTTAGTTAACTTCTAATCATTTTTTTAGAATTGTTTCCCCTTTTGTCACAGGCTTGGTTATTGTTTTCTTCCAATATTATGCACATAATTAACTCTGTTAAGAATGGTCATATTTTTCCCTAGCTATGGTTCAATCCCTGGTCAGGACACATACAAGAATCAAACAATGAATGCATAAATAAGGGGAACAAAAAATCTCTCTCTCTCTTTCTCTCTCTCTCTCTTCTCTCTCCTCTCTCTTTTCTCTCTCCTCTTCCTCCTTTTCCTCCTCCCTTTATCCCCCCTCCCTCTCCTTTCCTCTCTCTCTAAAAAAAGAAAAGTAGTGGAAAAAAAAGAATGGTTATATTTTCAAAATTCAATAATAAGGGCTGATCATAAATGTTAGTATGTTCAATGAATTAAAAAAAATTGTAAACCTGGCAGAGGAAGAAAAAGGGATCTGGTAGTAGGGGCTCCTTAAATATTGTGTAATAAATGAAAAAAAATAAATTCTTAATTAGTGGTGGGCACATATAATTCAAATGAGGAGTTCTGCATATTTGCTTCAAAGATTTTACTAATAAGATTGTAAACTTAAGTAACAGCAGTGAAAAATGTGACATGAATATACTTAGTTATTAACAAGCCAAAATGCTAATCATGTTCATGAAGCATATATTCATTGTGATGCAGCAGTGCTGCTTAAAGTCACCTGTGGGAGATGGATCATGAGAGTAGGATTTATAGACTCGAATGTTCATGGGAGATCAGTAAGGAGCCATTCTTTTTCAAGTTTATTTGAGAAAAACACTGTCAGCAAACATAAGGATCTAAAGAGACAAAGACAAAACAGTTCCAATATGGAGCACGTAATGTGCTGTTGATCATTCAGACACTACAGCACTGTGTGGGGAACAGCATTGTCTGCTAAAAGCACTCACTCTGCTTTGTTAAAGAGTTACAGTGGCCTCCCCATCAGGATGGGGGCAGAAGCTGTGTTTGCTAGTTTTTTCTCTTGGTTGATGCTACTTACTTGAGCTTTCATATTTTTTATTTATTTTTTATTTTTTTATTATATTTAAAAAATATATATTTTATTGATTTTGTACAGAGAGGAAGGGAGAGAGATAGTTAGAAACATCGATGAGAGAGAGTCATCAATCAGCTGCCTCTTGTACACCCTCTACTGGGGATATGCCCGCAACCAAGGTACATGCCCTTGACCGGAATCGAACCTGGGACCCTTCAGTTCCCAAGCCGACGCTCTATCCATTGAGCCAAACCAGTCCTAGCTGAGCTTTCATTTTTAAATTTTTCTTTGTAAAGACATAGAAAGAGCATTTTTCTTGCTTGGAAATACATAATTTCATATTTTCATTTAATTACTCTGTAGATTCTTGTTATTTTAATGCTCTCTATGGCAGACATAGATTACAAAATCATGTTAAGGGGAATGTGCCATTCCATTTAATTTGGAAATTATCAAAGTAATCATAAAATTGTCAATCTGTATATTTTAAACTTTAAAATTATCTTTCATCTTTGGATACTTTTATTTTTGTGAAATCTCATGGTTCTAGAGTCTCATAGGTGATATCTTTGGTTCTTACTTGTTACAGACCCAGTTATACATGCACCTGACAAACTACTCTGTGAACAAACACAATGAGCGTTTTGAAAGGGATGAGACAGAAAACAAGGGCAGCAAACGCTCCATCAAATGGTTTACAGAATTCCTGCAAGCAAATCAACATGATGTTGCCAAGTTTTGGAGTGACATTTCAGTAAGAGTATACTATTCCACAATTATGACTGTCTTTCCTCAGATTAAATTAAAGGATCACCAAGCATTTTAAATAAAGAGCAGATTGTATTAGATTGGGCAGATAAGGTATGTTTTCATGAAGGAAGTAGAATTTGGGATGGACCTTGATAGATAAGTAGTATTTTCACTGTTAGGGATGGGAGAGGGAATTCTAGGTGGAGGTGAAAACATAAGTAAAAGTGTGGAGAGGTCTGAAAGTACTGGTAAGTGGTGCAGGTTGGTACATTTGGTATTTGTGAGAGAGGCATGAAGGGTTATGGCTGAAAAGATATGTAGAAGCTAAATTTCAGGTCTGATAATAAAGGCTTAACGTCCAGTTTTTAAGGGAGGAGAATAATAAGGTCTAATGCTATGAACTAAAAGGTAAATCTGAAAAAGGGTGTGGGATGGGTTGTTAGAGTGAAGACCAAGAGTAGGTAAAAGAGCCCTTGGGAATACTTTTAGTGAAAAGAACGGCCTAAATTGAACACAATAAAGGGGTGGCAATGAGGTAAACCTTGGGATTAATTGAATGTTCAGAATGGGAGAGAAGTACTCAGAGGGAGAATGAGGTTGGCATTATATGACATAGAATAGGAAAGAATTTATTTTTGAAAAGATTTAGAACTTAGTTTTGCAAATGAGGGAAAAATAGTTTTACTTAATTTATTTCTTTATTCATTCCTTTATCCAGTAACCATTTATTGAACTCATAATATAAGCCTATCTCTGGCTGATAAATTGAAGGTTTATAAGTTACTCCTCCAGTTCTTGAAAAACTTAGAGTTTGGCAGGAAAAACCAGCACAAAAATTATTAAAATGCAGTGTAGCAAGCACAACAGCAGAGGCAGCAGTGGATTCTGTGGGAGGCAGAGGAAACCACATACAGTAGCTTTGGGTGGGTGGTGAGAGAGGAGGACTTCTTGGAGGCATTGACTTCCGAACTAAGTTTTTAAAAGTCCGTGAGGCTATGATGATGAATTTTACTTTAAAAGGCGAAAGATTTATGTGATCTGAAGAGAAACCAGAGTATGATGAATTTTACTTTAGATGTGTTAAACCTAAAATGCTGTCTCAGGCAGAAAGATCAGAAATGTGTTTGTGGTGCAATTGATATGTAACGCCATGGCAGTGGATGAAATTCCAAAAAGTAAAGGTAATGAGAAAAAAGATATTAGAAAGTAACTTTGGTGAAACAGACCCTTTATTAATCCTAGCAGAAGTATTAAAATGGAATTCCAAGTTAGAAGACTGTATCTATTGAAAATAATGTGATTTGGCTTTTCTTTGGGGACAAATAATATATCTAATAAAAGCCTAAACGACTGTTATGGTGGAATGACCAGAACAAAAAAAAATGTTCTAATGATAGATTTATTACCAGTGTGGATCAGAAGAATCAAAGTTGAGAAGCTTATTTTGGGGCGGTAGCTCTTTGATGGAAGATCATACATTATATTAACTGGATGATTCAATGAGTGGGCTATTTGATGATTAGCATAGTGAGACCAAGGAAACTTTATATCCCCTCTGATATTCTTTTTTCTTTACCAAATATTTCATGTCCATATGGGAATATCTTTGTGAAAAGGTGGCACCTGTTGGGCTGCCTTGGTGAAGTATGTATAGAGAGAATCAATCAGAGAAAAGTGAGTATCATGAGCTTGTAAGTGGTACTTTTCCCTCATGATTAAATTTGGAGAAGGTATAGAAGTAAGGCTAATATTATTAGTAGGTTAGGCAATTGACTTTTCTGTGAAAGCCTATAGTATAGCTTTCAGATATGATGTACACATAACCAATGTGAGTCTATTATTTACTTAACACTTAATAAATTATTAACTTTTCCAAGAACATTTCTTACATTTATCTTGTCAGATCATCTGCATTTATTTAGTTATTTAAAATTTTGTCTTTATTCAGAATTACATGTACTTTATATAGATCTCTTTGTTTAAGGTGTCAACAAAATACTATTTTGTAAAAAGAATGTTAGGAGGAGGTGGAAAAGGCAAAATGTAGTAGATTTTTGTCTTTATGTTATAGTTTATAAATTTTATGAATTTAACTTAAGGCTTTTTAAAAATTACCTCTCTTTTGGGGGTAATAAAAGTAACTGCCTGTATCTAAAAACTAGCAATACCTTCTATGAAGCAAAGAAATGTGTTTTTGTCCTACTAAATAATGAGTAGAAAATTAACAGAAAATCAGATTAAAAATGATTGTAATCATTCATAAAACCATCTTTACTGAACGTCGCCTTTTTGTATATTTTGTGTACAAGTCTACAAATCATATTTCAAAGCAATGACACAGGAAAGAATTGGTGAAATTTGATTTGTGCTTGGTTATATCGTTCCTGATTTCACATATACCTGCAAGCTTGCCTTTATGTTTCTAAAAATGTGGGGTTTTTTTTATATTGAGAAAAGGAGAGATTGGTAAGCTGGGTCTATTAATTCCCCCCACTGTCTTGTTCTACACAGACAATTAATAGCCAAGGTTTTAGCTTTTTTTTTTGTACCCTCCAGTTGTTTTAGTATATCTCCAAAGATGTATATGGAGTGCTTTTTGTCTTTTATCTTTAAATTCTTTGGCATTACCTTTAATTTGTTATTTTGAATACAATTTTCTGAAAACAACCTCATGGTATCTCTGAATCTTACTTCCAGATAGCAGCTGGGTTGAGATTCTGAGTATCAGAGAGATTAATTTCTGTCTTCCATTTTTTTCTCCCATATCATTAAATATTGTGCCCAGCAGGTAGTGGGATTTTGTGTCTGACCTGACGTATGAGATGGACTTCTAGTGGAATAATAGAATAACTGTAACAGTAGTTTTAGTTAAGCTGCTAACACTTAGTTCAGGTTAATGTGCTCTGGTCGCTACACCATGAGTTTCATCTGGAGTCTCACTTTGTCCTTTCATCAGTCTTTTGCAGCAGGTATTATTGCTATTGCCTGTTTACATTTGGCAACAGTACCTGTGGAGAGGCAGTTCCAAAGACAATATAGTCTAAGCAAAAATCAGCGGGACAGCTTTTCAATAATTCATAGTTTGTTCTCCAACTTCAGTTCAACAACTTTTTGCTCTATTGGCATCAGTAACTCAGCCCCATCATATTCTGTGTCCTCACAGCAATGATGACAGCCAGCTCACTTACTCACTGGCAGTATTGCATCACTGCACAAAGAAATCCAGCTCTCTAGGACTCTCTCCTCACTCTTTCCAGCCGATGTCCAAGTGGATGGCCTGTCATGTCGTTTGTGAAATAGTTTACTCATTTGTTCACAAACGTTTTTGAGCATCTATTAAATGTGAGGTACTATGGTAGGCACTGCAATGAGGCTGTAAACTAGACACACAAGGACCCTGCTCTAACAAAACAAGGGAACCATCGGCTGGTTCTGTGCCGCGAAGTTATGCAGGAAGGGACGTTGGGTGGCGGTTCTGATTCCAGTCAGAGAAAGCTGCTCTGAATATCAAGGATCTAGACATAGGCATAGGGGGAGAAGAATGTCCCAAGCAGAGGGAACAGTTACTGGGATGATCCCAGAGGAGACAAGTGTGGCGGGAGCTTAGCAGGACCAGGAAGAGTTGGATGGAGGGAAGTCAGGGCAATGGAGGGGCTAGATGCCCCAGGGCTAGTTTGTAAGTCCAGACCTTAGCAGTGGTTCTCAACCTTTCTAATGCCAGACACTTTAATACAGTTCCTCATGTGGGTGACTCTCAACCATAAAATTATTTTCATTGCTACTTCATAACTGTAATTTTGCTACTCTTATGAATTGTAATGTAAATATCTGTGTTTTCTGATGGTCTTAGGCTCTACAGCAACTGTTCTCTATAGCAGCAGTTCTAAACCTGTGGGTTGTAACCCACAGGTTGAGAACCACTAGCAGGGTTGCCTTTGACCATCAGAAAACACAGATATTTACATTATGATTCATTAATAGTAGCAAAATTACAGTGATGAAGTAGCAACGAAAATAATTTTATGCTTGGGGGCCACCACCACATGAGGAACTGTATTAAAGGGTCACAGCATTAGAAAGGTTGAGAACCACTGCCTCATTGCCACATGTGTAAATGAGGAAGAAATAAGGCATTTTCACCTTTTAAAAACCTTTGCTTGTAGGAATTGGTTGTTAAGACTCTCATTGTGGCAGAGCCTCATGTCCTGCATGCTTACCGGATGTGCAGACCTGGGCAGCCTCCGGGGAGTGAAAGTGTCTGCTTCGAAGTCCTGGGATTTGATATTTTGTTGGACAGAAAGCTAAAGCCGTGGCTTCTGGAGGTAAGGTACTTTTAAGAAGAGATGTTATCAATGTGTATTAAACCATATGTTTTTAAATGTGTACTTGGCACTGTTGTCTCATTGAGCAGAAAGAGGCCTGAATGGAGTGTGTGGGAGGAAAGAGAATGAAAATTCATGGAACAGAACAGTTCTAAGAAAGGATCAATATGTGTTTGATATTACTTTTCCCAAATGAGAATTGAACTTGTAGGCCAGGAATTTTGAATATATGTGTGGATCTACTTTTACTGATTTTTTTAATCTACTTCCTCCAATATTTTCTCAGCCTCAGGGCTCCACCACTTCATGACGTGTGGGTGCTGTCTTTCCTCTCTGTGTGGGCGCCTGGGCCTCGGGACCACGGCCTCTCTGTCCTCAGTGTGTCTCCCCTCACGCTCTCCCAAGAGAGATGCTCCAATGGGTTCACTAATCCTGACACCCGGGTGGCTTGAAGGTTCTTTTCTTGCCATATCTCATACCTGGGGTTCCCTCATGTCCAGCCCGTCAGCGGTGTGCCTTTGGGCTTTCTGCAAGTCCCTGCTATGGGCAGAGTTGTCATTCCTTTTACTTATAAAAGGTCACTCAACATCTGGAAAACATAGAATACTATACAGGAAAAAATAAAAGTGATCTCTTTTAAAGATTTTTTTATACCTTTTCTTCCAGTCTTAATTTATAATATATCCAGAAGAAACCTTAGGTTGCAGAGTGTATGGTCACAAAGTACCACATGTAGGAAACTTTATCAGGATAATAGCACGTTTCTAAACACTTAATGCTTACAAGATTAGTTATATTTTTGAGGGATATATTCTGGTAAAATATATCAGCAGCAATTACCTTTCAGTTTAAGTTTATCTCTCTCTTTTTTGTTAATGCTTTAGAAGTTTACAGTTACATCTTTAATATCAAGGCTTGCAAAAGAAAATTGAATGAGTGATAGATGAGATAAAAACATTCAAAATATATTCTTAGGGAAGAATGCTTTTCTAATTTGGGGGCCAGTGGTTTCCTGTGTGTATTGAATGCACTACGAGCAAATAATATGTGTATTTCCAATCACAGCTTTGCTCCTGCTCAGGTTCTAGAAATAAGATGAATATGAGGAAGGTTGCTTATCCTTTAGCTCCCTCCATTGGATATCAAAGCACTTGACTGCACCATATCTAGTGTACTGAGGCCTGACACTGTCCTAGGGTTATTGTTTTGTCAGCTGTATTTTTTCTATCCCTGCTGCTTGTCTTCTATCCTTATGGGTGGGGGAGAAGGGAAGGCACATGCAGGAGGTACAACTGCAAGGAGAGCAGGGATGAATGACTTTATAGATATTTATAGTTTTTAAAAGCAGTGGCCTGATTGGAACTTAGCTGGGCAAACCAGAATTGATTGAATGGTAGAATTCTGTTTTTTTTTTTTTTTTTTTTTTAAGGCTCAAAATACCATTGTTTGCATAAATGTTTCTTCTACTTTATTCTTTCCTTCATTTTCACGTCAATAAGAACCATTACAACATTCCACAATCACCAATGGCTAAATGCCATTGTTTGCATTAACATGTTTTCATTTTCTATTCATTTTTTTTTCATAATTTCCGGATTAATCAGAACCATTAAAAAACTCCAAAACAAAACAAAACTAACAGCTGTGGAGAATGAACATTTAATTATATTAAAATAGTGAAAAGAACCTTATGTAGATTTTGTTTGTATTTTCCTCTGTAATGATAGTGGTTCTAATATGTAGTTAAAAACCTTTTGGCGCCATCCAGTGGAACAACGAAGAAGGTGCTTCTGGGAATGTGATACCATAACTTTTAGTTCACTGGAATAATTGCCAGTAATGATTTGTAGAGGCAAATTGCAGAAATTTTCAAGCTTAGAAAACATTTTTAGGGAAAAACATTGAATTTGGGTGGATATGAATACTCATATTTTAAATATCCTTGAATTACTTTCTTTTAAAAATATTTTAAATTGATTTTAAAGAAGAAGGGAGAGGGAGAGAGAGAGAGAGAAATATCAATGTTTTCAGCTGCCTCTTGCACCGTGGGGATTGAACCTACAACCCAGGCATGTGCCCTGGTGGGAATTAAACCAGGACTTCCTGGTTTATAGGCCAATGCTCAACCTCTGAGTCATGCCAGCAGGGCCTTGAATTAATTTCAATAAGTCATTTTGCCAGGTGGTAGAGATACCAGAAGAATAAGACAAAACATCTGTGGGGACTCAGATATGTATTTTATGGTAATGGTTGTAGGTATAAATGGAAGCAGTGTGCCAGAACAAAAAATAAACTGACTAACCTCTCTGTGTTCATGTGTGTATTGAGAGTTAAAATAATCTTTGCAAAAGAGAGAACACCTGAACAGGGTATTTAGAAGGTGGGATAGGGGTTGGAGTTTGGAGAAATGGGGGTGATGTGGGGAGAAGCACTAATTTAGGAGCACAGAACCTATTCTGGATATTTTTATATGTGCACGAAATGATTGTGCTTGTTTTGATAATATAAGTATGATTTGGATAGCTAATAAATGATACTAATTTAATTTGCTTTCTAATAATTTTTATTTTTGCATCTTTTTTACAAACTGCTGAATTTTAAGACTATAACATTGACTAGGTTTTGTCTGTTTTAGAATTCAGGCAATGAGAACTAGAGAAGCCATCAACATTACAGAGTAGAATTTTGGCTGTATGAAACCCAATTTTCAAAGTTTTTTCTGTGAGCTATTTGCGGTTCTTCTCTTATTTTTTTTCTGTACCATTCTCATAAAAATTTCAAAAATCCAAGATGTTAATTGAACAAAAGGTGTTTTGTTCTGTTTAACCTTTTCATGTATTAGTTTAATTTGTTACATTTCTTCTTCGACCAGTTTCTTTTATGTGATAGCAGGGGGCAGACTTTGAAATAGATAATAGAGAGGAGTCTGAGATTGTATTGTTCCAAATTACCATCCTGCAGGAGGGAGATGCCTGGCAGAATTCCAGGCTACAGTTTTAGAATGGAACTCCTAAGAGATTCTATACAGATAACATTTCAGTGGATCAATTAATAACCTAAATATTTGGTTAATTTTATAATCGGTTACTTATATATAATAGCAGAACTATCACTGTATTATAAATTCTAGAGATTTGAGTCACTATGGAATGGTTGAAACATTTTTCATATAAAAGACTTTATTCTTTCTCTGCATGTTTAAGAGATAACACTTGGCCGAAACCGGTTTGGCTCAGCAGTAGAGCGTCGGTCTGCAGACTGAAAGGTCCCAGGTTCGATTCTGGTCAAGGGCATGTACATTGGTTGTGGGCACATCCCCAGCAAGAGGCAGTTGGTCGATGTTTCTCTCTCATCAACATTTCTAGCTCTCTATCTCTCTCCCTTCCTTTCTATAAAAAATCGATAAAATATATATTAAAAAAAGAGAGATAACACTTGAATAACACTGGAATAAATGGATGTTCTTGCAATTGCCAAGCTACTCCCTTCCTTTAAGAGCACAACACACAGGCGGGAATATGTTAATTACCTTCTGAATCAGAAATTAGCAAAGGAGAAATAAGTTTGGCATCTATAATAATAAAAGCATAATATGCTAATTAGACTGGACTTCCTTTCAAACATCATTCTGGACAACCTTTTGGATGAAGTTGGGGCTACGAGAGAAACCCAGGTCCCAGGTGCCGGAGGGAATCCGGTGCAGGCAGCCGGGGGAAGGAAAGCCTACTCTTGCATGAATTTCATGCATCAGGCCTCTAGTATCTCTATAAAAAGACTGTCATGCATCCCTCAAAATGTTGGCATGGGAGATTTTCATGATACATTGTTAAAAGAAAACTTGGATTGTAAAATAATATAATTAAATATAGACATTGAGAAGGGAAAATGAATATTATAAATAGGCATAACAAATATCTGGAATACCATTTATTACATGAATAACAATACACTAGGTAGTCAGGTTACAGGTGATCTTTCTGTTTTTTTTTTTTAATTTAGCCTTTAATAATTTTTCTGCAGTGATCCCATGCCACATTCCTAATTAGAGGCATTTGTATTTCTGAATGATTTCTTAAGTTTAATGTGTTTTTTTGTTCAGCTTTTGTAAAATGCATGCCATCAACTACCTTCTCTGTCCTGGTGATGGATTTGTATCACACAGCCCTTGTCTATGTCCCGTAGCATATGATTTTAGGTAGCCTGTGGGGTCATCTGGTGGTCATGAAGCCAACCTGCAGTTGTGAACTCAGCTGTGTTTAATTTTCTTAAACACGGGCTGTTCCAGTTACATTTTCATAACAACAATAAAGACAAAAAACTCCAGCTGCTGAAGTGGGAGTACCTATATTATCTAATGGATTTCTGGGTACATACAGTTATGTTTTGCTTTTTGTCTAATGAAATCCTGGCAATGATGTCGGAAATGACATCACAACCACACATGGCTCATTTATTCCCTTGAGTCCTTATATAGCTAGAAAGTTCACAGGGGTTAGTCTGCAGCTGCCCTTAATGACATCCTCTGAGTAATATGTACTCAGTGCCTTTGGAAATGAAAATTGATGAATCTTGTCTGATCCAGGTAGGAAGAAGCAAAGTTTATTTTTTTGTCAGCAATAGGAGGGTGAGTCACTTTTACTTCTCTCAGAGTGCTTGGGGTAATTTGGTAAAAGAGAGTAGAGAGGAGGGGGTAGGCAGATATGCTGACCGAAGATCCTGAGCCAAGGCCTAGGGGGAAAGGGGTGGTGATAGTCAATGCCTTACGCCCTGGTTTGGGATGATGGGGAAGGGAGGCTTGTCAATAGTAACCAGGTGATTACAGGCAGAGTGTTGAGGTTTATTGTAGAGTCCTTCTACTGGTTGGGGATTCCACATTAGATTAACAAATATGTATTAAATACAGGGCATCCCAAAATATATACATACACTTTAATAAAGGCAGTTTTTATTGAAATTCATTTCGTATTCAAAATTGAGCAATCAGCTGTTAAAGTATGTATACAATTTTGGGGGAACACCCCGTATTTTTTTTTGCCTACCCACATTTGGCTACTCTCATTGTTTTCTTTGTAAATTTCAGATCAACCGAGCTCCGAGCTTTGGGACTGATCAGAAAATAGACTATGACGTAAAAAGGGGAGTGCTACTAAATGCACTGAAGCTCCTCAACATCAGGTAAAGTATTCCCTCCATCTTTTGGAAAGTTTTTGTGACATCTGAAATAGAGCATTCATTTGTACATGGGATTGGCTTGACATTTTTTGTATATTTTGAATTTCTTGATTCCATTCTTCAAATTGATTTATTTAGTATCTTTTAATCTCCTCTAACACATAGGTTTTTCTTCTCCTTACTTAAGGGTCTGAACCTACAGTAAATAAATATGGTTAAGTTAGAGTATTTCTATACTTATCCTATATAATAAAAGCCCAATATGCAAATTGACCAAACAGTAGAAAAACCAGTTGCTATGATATGCACTGACCACCAGGGGGCAGATGCTCAATGCAGGAGTTGCCCTCCTGTGGTCAGTGCGTTCACTAAGGAGCAGCTAGGGATCAGCAAGTTTAACATAGAATACTAGAGACCTGTTCCAGGAAGATTCCTGCAAGAATAGGGCTTCCTCAGGCCTATTCCTGAAAGAATAGAGCTTTCTGCAGCTGGAGAGAAGCAGATAAGGGAGCGAGCTTCCCTCCATTCTCTGCCACCCTGCTTGCTTCTCCGCAGCTTCACTCCCTTCTGCAGCCCTTGGCTTCCTTCTACACTGTCTTCAGTCTTTTCTCTGCACCTGTGTATGCAAATCAACCACCATCTTTGTTGAGTTAATTTGCATACTCTCTCTGATTGGCTGGTGAGCACAGTAGAGGGACGGTCAATCTGCATGTTTCTCTTTTATTAGCGTAGATGAGGTTGAATTGGAGGCTGCCTTAGGAAATGCTCTAGATTATTTCCTCATCTTATAAGAAGAAACTGAAGCAGAGAGGTCATTCAGAAAGTAAAACATCTCAAACATGGATTTCCTGCCTTTCTATCTAGAGGTCTTCCCCATATATCTTGCTACGTGGGTAAATAGAAAAGAAAGGCAGTTAAGTGAGGCTTAACTTTCCCATTGAAAAAATATCTGAGAGATTTCTCCCACTTCTCCCCCCCCCCTTTTTTTTGTTAAGGATGAATAATATTCTGATTCTGTTGTATTATGCACCACATTTTCTTTATACATTCATCCACTGGTGGGCATTTAGGTTGCTATTGTCTTGGCTATTGTGACTAATGCTGAAATATGTATGGGAGTGCAGATATTGATATGAATCCTAATTTTAACTCCTTTGGATATATATATATATATCCTGAAGTTGCCGTGTATATGATCATAGATGTCAAATATTCAAAACACTATTATATTGGAAAGCTTTTGACTCATGAAATAAATATTTTAGAAGTTTAACTGGACTTCTCAAAGAAGTAATGAAATATTTGCAATTATAAGTGTTGAAACAGCACTTAAGAGTGTTGGCTTAAAGACTCTAGAAGGTTTTTTGATCTTACAGATTTTATTATTTCAATTGATTCCACTTGTCATTTTAAGAGCTTCAAAGAAGCTGTTGGATGTTTCCATGCAATTTGTTTATGTTAAATGTTTCTAAGCACTTAGCAAATACCTGATAGAAAAGTACCTTTCTTGGAAAGCATCATTAGAAAAAGAGATAGACATATAAATTTGTTCAAAAATGTTCATATGACTCCTTCTTTTGCCAATTAAAGAACGATTTGCCTAAATTCTGCTGATATCTCAATTATGTTAAAAGAAATGAAAATTATTTTTTTTTATTTAGCTTACACGGTATCATTATTTTGAATTGCTTAAGCCAAACCGGTCTCGGCTCTTTTTCTTTCTGGCATGTCTTTTGACGTTGCCAGTGATGGTTCCAATTCAGGACCTTAACTATGGGTGTTTTTGGTCTTTTTTTATTTATTTATTTTATTGATTTTTCCACAAAGGGGAAGGGAGAGGGATAGAGAGCTAGAAATGTTGATGAGAGAAAAAAAAATGTTGATCAACCAGCTGCCTCCTGCACACCCCCTACTGGGGATGTGCCTGCAACCAACATACATGCCCATGACCGGAATCGAATCTGAGACCTTTCAGTCCACAGGCCAACGCTCTATCCACTAAGCCAAACCGGTTTTGGCTGTTTTTGGTCTTTTTAAAAGAGATATATACATTGAAACGGTGAGACATTTCTAGGCTTAAAACTAAGGGAGAATTGGACTTCATATTTCTTAATTTTCTTAATGTTGTTCCACTAAGAGAATTTAGCTCAACTTATATAACAGTTAGAGCATATGCTATTGAAACTTAGGTTGCAGCAGTGCCTTTTCTCTCCAGCCAGATGGAGGGCTCCTTGGGCATATGTCAGACTTGTATTTCTCTATGACGAGGTTCCTATCTAATAAAAAGGGAATCTGTTGATTGACCCTCACACCGTCACAAAGATGGCGGTACCCACAGCCAATAAGAAGGGAATATGCTAATTGACTGCCCCATCCTCAAAGTTGGTGCCAACCACAGCCAATAAGGAGGGAATATGCTAATTGACCGCCCCACCCTCAAAGTTGGCAGTGCCACAGCCAATAAGGAAGGAATATGCTAATTGACTGCTCTGCCCTCAAAGATGGTGGCACCCACAGCTAACAAGGATGGAATATGCTAATTGTCTGCCTTGCCTTCAAAGATGGCAGCTCTCACAGCCAATAAGGAGGGAATATGCTAATTGACTGCCCCACCTTAAAAGATGGTGGTACCACAACAACAAGAAGTGCAGCAAGGCTAGGCCATCCCCAGGCTTCCCTGGCCACTCCATGTGCCTGCCTCCAGAGTCCCTCAGGCTCCTCAGCCCCCCCAGCCACCCAGGGCCAGCCCAAGGTGCAGGCAAGCCTCAGATGGTAGCCATCCAGCTGCTTAGGGCCACCTGAAGCTAAGGTAACCGGGGCTGGTCAAGGTTTGCACTGCCAGCAGTGGCAGCAGCAGAAGTGTGATGGGGCATTGCCTTTCCCTGATCGCTAGATCACCTCTGGCCCCTGAGGACTCCCAGACTGTGAGAGGAGGCAGGCTGTGCCGTGGGATGTCCCCCCTCCAGTGCATGAATTCTCATGCACCAGGCCTCTAGTGGAAATAAGCAGGAGCTGAGAACACTAGAAAAATTATTGTCTATTTATTAAATACTAGAGGCCTGGTGCATGAAATTTGTGCTCGGGGGTGGGGGAATCCACTCAGCCCAGCCTGCACTCTCTCCAATCCAGAACCCCTCAGGGGATGTCCGACTGCCAGTTTAGGCCCAATCTCCCTGTTGGCCTAGTTGCCCCTCATTGCCCCCCTCCCCCCCCCCCGCCAGCCTAATCACCCCCAACTGTTTCCACCTGCCAGCCTGGTCACCCCCAACTGCACCCCCTTGCCAGCCACAATTCCTAGAAGGATGCTTTGCTTATAGTATGGCTCCACATGTACCCCAAAATTCATAGTGTAAATGTATCTTTCAGTCTCAAGAAAAATCCAAAAGTGTATGTAGCTCAGAGTATGTATCATAGCCCCTGAGAATGAACACTACCCATACTGATGGGTCAGAATTGATCCCCTTTGTACTTGGATGGCACAACATAATTTGAGTTCAGATTCAAATAATTTTCTGAAACATTTGGCTTGGGGTCTTCAGAGACAAGAGTACAAAAGGGACTATATGCAGAACAAGAGAAAAAATAATAAGCAAAGGTAAATAGTAAAATAGTAATAAGTGAAAAAGGTGATATTTTTGCTCTAACTGGTTTGGCTCAGTGGATAGAGCATCAGCCTATGGACTGAGGAGTCCCAGGTTCGATTCCGGTCAAGGGCATGTACCTTTGTTGTGGGCACATCCCCAGTAGGGGGTGTGCAGGAGGCAGCTGATCAATGTTTCTCTCTCATTGATATTTCTAACTCTTTTCCTTTCTCTTCTTCTCTCTAAAAATCAATTAAAAATATATTTTAAAGGTGCTTTTTTAGTAATAAAAGGAAAAGGCAATCTTGTATAGTGGGGGTATTGGTGTGTTGATAAGAAGAATCATTTTTCCTCCATGAGAATTGTATTAGAATCATTGAGTCTAGAAAAGATAATTATAGTCTCATGAGTTCTGTAAGTCTGAAATACTGTACTGTTTATTAGTTTAAATTAGATTGAATTAGGTTATATTAGATTACCTGGCCCTTATTTATGATTAGTTCACAGGCTACATGTGCATGGTGTACACAGCATTTCATGCTATTCTGCCCTTGAAAATTAATTCTCACTGGCCTCTTTGACACTCTATTTTCTGAATTCACTTAACTTTGAGCATTTCTCTGTCTTCTAAGATTTCATTTATGTCCCTTTACTTGTCATTTTCTCACTGTATTCTTGCCTCAGACCTCTTTTCCTCTGTGTCAGTCTCATTCATTTTTGTGGCATCTTTTGTGAGTCAGACACTGGAGTCCCAGTTCTACACCTGTATTGAGGTACAGATTAGGGTTCCTCTCAACAGCTCTGTCCTCTCTTGGGCTCTAGTCTTGCATTTGCAAATCTCTGCTGAGCATTTATGCTTGATGTTTCTAGTCTAATAGAGGCTCAGTTAATTTGTAATGAATGAGTGAACTAGTAAAGCAGTAAGTAAATAAATGAATGGGTGAATGTTCTGGTGACACTTTAAATTCAATATGATCAGAAGTTTCATTACCTTCTCCTTCAATTATATTTGTCTCGCTGAGTTTCTCTCTTTTCTTCTGCTAATGATGTCAATTACCTTCAACCCACAAAAGAAAATATTTTCATATATTTAATGTACATTCTTAGCTTATATTGTGCTAGAAGTTGGAGATAAAAAATGAGTAAATTTTTTTCTCTGTAAGTGGCTGTTATTAAAAGGGAAACCATATGCTCATAGAAAAGTACTTACAATGATAATCACTCAAACCTAGTTTTGCATCTTGCTTTGCTTTGCTAGTTAATGATAAAACCATTCATATAAATATTCAGGCTAGAAAGCTGGGAGTTATCATTAGCTTCTTCCTTTATAATAAATCAACTTAATCCTGTACAAGGTATGACTACCATTTAATTTCTTAGTTTCACTAAGTTTAATGACTTCTCATTTCTCTCCTGGATTATTTTACTGGCTTTCTTCCTTCTTCTAGTGCTAACCCCACCCATTTTTCAGCCTCCGTTCTGTTGCTCTTCAGGTCATTTGACAAGTGTTAACTACTACTGCAATAGGGACGAGGAATTCAGTGTGTCCCCTGATTCCTGGGTTTCTGGCTTAGACAATTTGTTTGACAATACAGTACTGATTAGGTAAAAATTTTAGGTAAGAAACAGATTGAGAGGAGCGATGGGGGAAGGTAGAGAGAGATAGATCAGTTTTAAACATGTTAATTTTGAGATTCTCTGAGACCCAGGCAGAATTGTTAACTGGGAAATCTGACATCCCTTCTAGATAGAGATGTCTGTTTGACTGACAGCCATGTACAGATTGCTGTTGGGTCTAATGGATGAAAGCACATAGAGTGTACATATTGAGAAATAAAGGGGGTCCTGGCAGAGTCCTGAGAAATGCCAACATTAAAAAATGTTTTTAGAGAGAGAAGGATGCAGAGAGAGAGAGAAATAACGAGGAGAGAGAAACATTGACATCGATCAACATTGATTGGCTGTCTCTTCTGCTGGGGATCCAGCCCACAACCGTGGGCATGTGTCTTGACCAGAAATAGAACCAGTGGCCTCTTGGTGATGGGTTGATACTCAACTACTGAGCCACAGCAGGTTGGTGAGGAATGCCAACATTTGAAAAGATATTTATAAACTCTGATATTCTCATCACATTGTTTCTACTCTATCAGATAAAGTTTAAACATTGCATCAAAGTAGCTTTGATCTTTAGATTGTATACAAAACAGCATTTGATCTGGTCTTTGTCTCTCTCATCAATATGATCACTTTTTGTTCTTTCCCCTGCCTTGGAATTAATTTTTCTAAGAACACATGTGTGGTGCTGTTCCCCATGTTCATGGTTTTTGCATGTTTTCTCATTTAAATATCATTTATCTTTGTTCCTCTGGTGAATATCAACTCATTACATTTTTTTTGGGGGGGGGGTAAAATATACTTAACATAAAATTTACTATCTTAGCCATTTTTAAGTGTGCAATTCAGTGGCGTTAAGTATGTGCACAGTGTTGTGCAACCATCACCTCCATCCATCTCCAGGGCTTTTTCGTTGTGCAAAACTGAAAGTCTGTACTCATTAAGCCAGAACTCTCCACAGATTGAACCTGCTATCTGGGATGGAAGAAAGAGGAACAGAGTTTCAGAGGAAAGCAGTCTCCCAACAGGACTTATCCTATAAAAATCAGACATCTGTAACTAAATTTGTATGATTGGGCAAAAATGAGAAGGACCATGCAGAAGTCTTCAAAGAAATAATGTTAGGCTAGGAATTCAGTCAGAATTAAACATATACTAAGGAGTGATTAGTGTAAATGAGGGATTACTTAAATATGAATGGAATTGTTGAAGGAAGAGAAAGGAGCCAATATTCATTAAGGACCTATTATTGATATCACAAGTTAATCTTTATAAGAACCATAGGAAGGAAACATTATTGTTAGCATTTAGTAGATGGAGAAACAGATTCAGCAGGTAATTAGCCTGAGATTGTAGAGCTAGTACATCATTATACTGTTTTCATTTTATTTTGTTACCTTCAGAACTTCTATTTACTATGGAGAGACCCTTATTTGATGGATGATTAGATGAATATCACATACTTGAATATATAATTTAATAAACATTGATTTCTATTGTCACTGTGTCTCCTTTTCTGCTCCTTCTCCTCACAGGGATAAGATCAGAATTGGAATTCTAGAATAGAATCTTGTGTTTTATATTTTAGGTCCAGCGATAAAAGGAAAAACTTAGCCAAACAAAAAGCTGAGGCTCAGAGGAGGCTTTATGGTCAGAATTCAATCAAAAGGCTCTTGCCAGGTTCCTCAGACTGGGAGCAGCAGAGGCATCAGCTGGAGAGGCGGAAAGAGGAGTTGGTATGACTGTTTTAACACACCAACGTTTTGAATTGCATAATTCATTTGCCAGGCTTTATTTGTCAAATTTCTGTATTCTAGAAAGAGAGACTTGTTCAAGTGCGAAAGCAGGTCTCTAAAGAACAACACGAAAACCGACATATGGGGAATTATAGGTAAGTGTGCTTTCTTTTTATACAGATTGTACAAATGAAGTATCAAAACAAAAATGAGTCTACGTTTTCTAACCCTTTAGGCTTGTTTTAAGCACTGTTCATTTTACTTTGAGATAGTGCTTTTGTTTGATATTTTTTTTAGAATGAAAAGGTAGATAGCAAGTAGATGGTTTAGACTTGGGAGACTCCTTCTAGCTAGCCTGGAGGGTGGTTAAATCTGATATTATCTTTCAAATCAGGTATTATACCATGACCATATCTATAATATAAAAGCCCAGCAACTGAATGGCGGATGACAAGAATGACCCATCAACCAGTTGCCATGATGTACATTGACCACCAGGGGGCAGATGCTAAATGCAGAAGCTTCCCCCTGGTGGTCAGTGTGTTTCCCACAGTGGAAGCAGCTGCTCAGAGGACAGGTCCATAGCCACTTGACTGACTGGAATGAACTGCGCTCCCACAGTGGGCCCCAGTGCATGAATCCGTGCACTGAGCCTCTAGTTTGGCTATAATATGGTGTTTTGAGAAAGGTTTCAGGTCTCCTAGTATTCTTTCTGCCAGTTTCAAGAGGTGGCTATATTTTGTTTTAAACTCTAATGTATCAGGGTCTAGGCAAATAAGGAAGATGTTGGAAGGAGGCAGGTATGAGACCCTAGAAAGTGTGTGGACACTGCTAAAGGAAACCTCTTCCATGGTATCAGCTTTGACAGGATAAAAGGAGACTCCCTAAACTCCTTGTGTTCTTAAAGAGACGTCTTTCCTCCCAAGCTTTGACATGACCTCAGCAGAATTAGGAGAATTGGGGGCCATAGAACATCTTGCACTCATAATAAGACATTCTTCCCTCGCTTTAACACCATCAGCAGGATTGGTGACATCACATTTCCTTTCACCCTATCTCTACCAAATTCTCTCCACTATCCCAAGAGGTCATCAGGTTAATCTCAGGCTTCTTCAATAACCACACTAAATCCAAAACTCCCAAATTATCCCTCATCACCTAAATTCTTCCCCATGAAGTTTTGGATTTCTTCAGTATCCCCAATTGCAATGATTTCAACCACTACCTTCAACTAAACCCTCATACTGTATCATCTGGAGTTGGATTGTTTAAGATGATTTTCTAGATAAACTTTAATTTGTGTGCATGACAATGAACATTTATGAATTTTTCATAACTGTATTCATCCTTATTTGTGGCACCCAGTAAAGGCAGAATAGGTGGTCAAGGATTAGCTATGTAGTTGACATTAACTCTTACACTATAATAGCTTCTTTTTTAAAATTGAATTTACTGGGACGACACTGGTTGCAAAATTATACAGATTTCAAGTGTGCAACTCAACAAAACATCATCTGTGCACTTTATCATGCACTCATCGCCCCAAGCAGTCTCTTTCCATCCCCATTTTCTCCCTCTTTGCCCACCTCCACCCACCCCTACCCTCTTTCCCTCTGGCTATCACCACACTGTTTTTCTGTGTGTATGCATTATGTATATGTTTTTGTTTTTTGCTAATCCCTTTCCTTACCTTTTTTCACCCAGCTACCCAACTCCCCTCTCCTCTGACAGTTGTCAGTCTGTTAATAGTCTCTTTTAAACACGTTGGTTTATCTGATTTTATTGTAGACGAATTTATCCTCCTGAAGATAAAACTCTACTTGAAAAGTATGAAAATTTGTTGGCTGCTGCCTTTCAGACCTTTCTTTCAGGAAGAGCAGCTTCATTCCAGCGTGAGCTGAACAATCCCTTGAAAAGGATGAAGGTAAAGGGATACGTTTTTTCAAAAAGAAAAAAGAATCATGCCTAATACTTTTCAAAACAACCTACCTCAGTCCCACATCTACAAACATTTTACGTTGAAGATGCACTTGCTTCCATTTTCACAGTTGGTAACATTTCATAACCAAGCAGGTGGTTTCAAAAATAAGAAGTTGTCGAACAGGATACATTATGCAGTAGAGAGTGTTGATATTATATTCTGCAACACTGATCTATTGTAATAAACATGTGTTATAACAACCATGTATATGTAACTGAATTAAAAAAATCCATTGTATCTACCAAGTGGTTTGTAATGTTCTCATTATTTGTATCGTAACTAACAATTATTCAGTATTTTTCCCTGATACTGTCTAGGCTTGATATATGAGAAGTAATAAAAACATATGCATACCCCTAGACCTCCCCTTACTCCCCACGTAGTAATCTCTTTACCTTGCCTACGGTCTATCAGTTATCTATTGCAGCATAATAAACCATGTCATTTATTTGCTCAGTATTCTGCTCTCTTGGCTGGGCTCACTTGAGTAGTTCTTTCTGCTTGTCTTGCTTGAAGTGAATAAAGTATAATTCACTGCATTTATCTGAAAGGATGTGCAAGATGGCTTCACTGACATGTCTAGAGCCTTAGGTGAGAGAGCTGGAATATCTGGGGAGCTGACTAGGTATCTCTCTCTCTCATTGTCTCTCATCAGGGTAGCCATATCTCTCACTGTGGTAACCTGAGGTTCCAAAAGGGAGAATTTAAAGACAGGCCCAGTGTGCAAGTGCTAATCAAGTCTCTGCTTGCAGCACACTTACTAATGTTCCATTGGACATATAACTTTATGTGGACTTATTAATACTGTTTAGACTTTATATTACTTGACATATCCCTATCGTGATATATTCCCTGTATCTTGGATACACAGTTATATTGAGTGATTCAAAAATCATGATAAAATATCTTTTCACTCAGATTCCACAACAGAAAGTTTCAAAGCCACTTTCAAGCTGGCTAGACCTAAGAGATAGAAGCAGAAGGAACATTGTATATTCCAGTGTTATTTTCCTCTTTTTATGTAGGCAAATGCTTTACCATTAGAATTATTATATGTTCTGTGGCCTTTTTGTTTTTATTTTTTAAAATATTTGTATTGATTTCAGAGAGGAATGAGAGGGACAGAGAGATGGAAACATCAATGATGAGAGAGAATCATCGATTGGCTGCCTCCAGTTTACCCCACACTAGGATTGAGTCTGCAACCTGGAGATGTGTCCTGACCAGGAATCCATCCAACTGTGATCTCTCAGTTCATAGGTCAACATTCAACCACTGAGCCAAGCCAGTCAGGCCCTGTTTTAGTGTTTTGTTTTGTTTTGTTTTTAAACCCAGTGGGAGACTTTTCTTAATTTTTCCTACCTGTTCTATAATGTTATTTCTCTCTCCTGTGGATAAAGAATCTATTCCTTCCCATTACACCGATCTATCCTTATTTTTTTCTAGTAGAAAACCTCTAGTAGATACACCTGGTTTCATATTCTAGTTTCCCCATATGTTAATTTTATAACCTTAGGCTATAAAATTAGTAGTTTCCTTGGCACCAAAATACCATGTTTCCCTGAAAATAAGACATCCTCCGAAAATAAGACCTAGTGCATGGAAAGATAAGACATCCCCTGAAAATAAGACCTAGCGCAACTTTGGGAGAAAAAATTAATATAAGACACTGTCTTATTTTCGGGGAAACAGGGTAGTAGTATCAAAACTACTTGTCAGGTTAGTTATGAAAATAAAATTGAGGTTAACTAAACTAGTCTATTAAAGTTACTTGACACTTAATAAATAGGCTTCAAATCTTAAATCCCTATCTCTGTTCCTCAAAATCTAGTTTAAATGTAACCACTTCATTTACCCTGTTTTCTGGGCCTGTGAGCCTATTCTTATGCAAATTTTATACCTTTAAAAAAATATATTGTTTCTTTTAGTGTTGAGATTATTAGTACCTGCACTCAGTTTGTTCTTTTTTCAAACTGTTTTGAGATTTCTAGGTCCTTTTATATTTTCCTATAAATTTTAGAATAGAAAAGGCTGCTGGAATTTTAATTGGGACTGTGAAGAAATTGTAAAACAATTTCTCACTAATTAACAATACTGAGTCTCTGATTCATTAATATGGCATATCCACTTATTTAAATCCACTTTTATTACTCAGCTCTGTTTGTAGTTTTTGCTGTATAGTTCTTGCAATTTTTCATTAAATTTATTATGTATTTCAGTTTTTTGCTACTGTTTTTCATTCCCCCCCCACTTTTTGGTTTGTTGACTGGATGTAAATATCTGATTATTTTTATATATTGCCCTTATACTTAGCAATTTTTGTATATTGTATTTTTATTAAATTTTGATTTTGATTTTGGTTATTTAGAAGTTTGTTCATTAATTTCCATACATTAAAATTTTGCACTTTTATTTTTTTAGGGATTTCTGATATTGTTGATTGGTGTTAGAAAAAGCATTTCAGTCTTGTAAAGTGAATTGAGACTTGCTTTGTGTCTCAATATAGTGCTTATTTTAGCAAATGTACCAAGTCTAGTTTGTAATATGTATACTGTATGTGTTGGTTGTAGAGATTTATAGATGTCATTTAAGTAAATTTGGCTGTTAAGTGTTGTTTAAATAGACTGTATCCTTTTATATACTTTTTGGCCTACTTGGTGTAGCAGTTGCTGAGAGAGATTTGTGGATTTAGTTCATTTTTTGTTTCAAATACTTTGAAGTTCTGAAGGTGTCTTTCTAATTCACCTTTTCTATTTTATCACTATGCAGTGTTTCTCTTTCTTTTGGGTAGCATTCTTTGTCTTAATTTCACTTTACATGATTAATAGGTTTTTTCTTGCGGTTACTGTTTAAATGACATATCTTTTCTATCATATTAAAAGTAACTTTTAACTCATATTAAAAGTAACAATATTTATATACCTTTGGTAAATAGCATGAAGTTAGGTAATACTTGTTTTTAAATCTAGTCTGACTGTGTCTTTAAATCATTTTACAAAATTACTGGTATAGTTGGGTTTATGTCTGCCTTTTTGATCTTTTTTTTTCTTTCTATTTATACTATCTGTTTATTATTCCTTTTATGCTTATTTTTTATTCTTGGAAAAGTTAATTTTAAAATTACATTATTTTATCTTTACTATTGGCTTTTAGTTATATTTGCAGGATAATAAGGGGTTTTAAAAAGAAATTACAATATACATCCTTAAATTATAAAGTCTACCTTGAGTTAGTATTTTATTACTTCACAAGAACCCTAACAGTTTAATATTTTTTTTTGGTGTCTCTCTAAACTTTGTGCTGTTTCACATATATTACTTTTGCATCCTTAATTCATTTTGTTCTCCTTTTCATTGCTCCCTGTAACATGTATATAATAATTTTTTAAAATCTTTGTTAATTTTAATATTTGGATTATTTACTGACCTGCTTTTTGCTTGTAGGTCACATTTTTTTAATTATTATTTTAGATGTCCTATAATTTTTGTTTGGTAGATGCTTATAAAAGAATCATAAAGCTGAACTGATGTTATTTTCTCCAAAAGAAGGGAAATATTTCTTAGTACAAAGTGTTAGAGTGAGGGGGTAATTACTTCGAGTCCAAGAAAAGTTAAAGGAAAGCAATCAGTAAGTGGTACTACATCAAAATTAAAAGCTTCCATACAACAGAAGAAACAAGTAAACAAAAGATGCAACCTACAGAATGAGAGAATATTTTTGCAAACTATATATCTAGAATAAGGAGTTAATAGCCAAATATATAAAGAATTAATATAACTCAATAACAAAAAACCCATCTGATTAAAAAATAGAAGAACCCAATAGACATTTTTCCAAAGACTACACCCAAATGGCCAACAAAGATATGAAAGATGCTCCACATCACAAATCAAGGAAATATAAATAAAAACTGCAATGATCAATCACTTTATACCTGTTCGAATGGCTATTATAAAAAAAGACAGTGTTAATAATTATTGGAAGGATGTGAGAAAAAGGAAGTTCTTGCACACTTATGGTGGGAGTGTAAATTGGTTCAGCTGCTGTGGAAAACAACTTAAGTGCCTGTCAGTGGAGGAGTGGATATAGATAATGTATTGTAGACTACAATGAACTATATTATTCTGTGATGAGAAGAAGGAAATCCTGCCATTGGAGGCAACCTGGATGGACATTATGCTAAGTGAGATAAGTCAGACAGAGAAAGACAAACACTGTATGATATCACTTATGTGTGAAATTTTTAAAAAGCCAATTAAAAACAATAATCAATATAGAAATGATTGATAGAATTTTGGTCTAGAAAATTAGAGTGATTTTTAGAAATTTTAAAATTTCTAATAGGCTAATTTATTATAGTCAGTATTAACAATGTACTAAAACATAAAGATACATTTGTTTATAATCTATAATAATGAAAGCATAATATGCAAATCGACCAGATGATCAAATAGCAGAAGACCCTCCGGATCACACTCACTGGCTCCAGGCCAGACAAGGCAGGTGCTATGCGATTGGTTAGGGGGCCCCACCATCGCCCCACGATTGCCCCACAGAGGGAGGCTCGGGCCACTCTCTGTAGGGCCATCGATGAGGGGGCTCCACAGAACTGGAGAAGTGGGTGTGTGTGCAATGGATGCGGGCAGCACCAGGCAAGGGCCCCAGCAGCTGGGGTCATGGCTGGGAAGGCCTACCCTTGCACGAATTCCATGCATTGGGCCTATAGTAATATATAATAGATTTTCAGCAATGTATTATTTGTTATATTTTAGTGAACAAAATTTTTAAAAAAGGTTTTTCATGACCCTTTATTACTCATTTGATCTGAGTAGTCTTCATTAAATAGTTTTAGGAATTGTATTGTACCCTATTTTATGGAGATCAATGAATTTTGAAAAATCCTAGAGTCATTTGGTGATCATAGTTTTAATTAAATATCTTTTTAAGGAGGAAGATATTTTGGATCTTCTGGAGCAATGTGAAATTGATGATGAAAAGTTGATGGGCAAAACTTCCAGGCCTCGAGGACCAAAGGTACAGTATCTCTATCTTTCCTAGTATGAGAGTAGATATGACTACTAAGTACAGTTGTTTCCCCTTTGTATTTATTACTATAGTAATGACTGATGCCACTTTCATGAAACTGCATGGACTATGTGTGCAGTACAGAGAGAGTTGGTTATATCACACATAGAAGTTCTATTTTTTGGTTTGGTTAGTTTTCCTCACTTTTTTTTGATTCTTTTTGTAATATTAGTGAAATCCTGATGAGTCAGGACCAAAAGGAACCTAGCACTAATAACCCTATTTTATACTCAGTATTAATTTTTCCTCATTTCTCTACACATATAATTACCATATTTTTCGGCGTATAAGACGACCCCCTAATTTTACATTTAAAACATAGGTTTAAGACTATATTCGCTATATAAGACTACCCCCCACTTCAAAGAAAAGACTTACTTTGCCGTCAAGATCTGCAGGTAATTTTTGTGCAATTTTGGTCTTTTGCCCCCAATTTTCGGTTGATTTTTTTTCCCGTTTCAAAAGTCGTCTTATACGCTGGAAAATACGGTACCAGAGAAGTATAGTGATATAGATAAGGCAAGTCATGACTCTAGAAAACCTTATCATGAGCCTCATATTTTGCTGACCTAACAACATTGAAATTGTGTTAGTTAAAATGGACAGCTTCTAGGATAAAGAGAAAGCAATCATGCATGCAAAAATGAGCAGGTGTTTGCTTTACCTTTATCTGCTCTGTGGTGATAACATCAATGTGGTCTTTGGTTATAAGTCAAAAGTCAAAAAGTTCTTGCTAACAGAGTAGGGAAGAGATGAATTTGTTAAGTCTTGGGAACCTTTTCATTGTGCTCTTAATTTATACTTTATGTTTCAGCAATACTAAGCTATGTCTTTACACGCATCTTTCTCTGTTGTCCTTCCATGCTTTTTCTATGCCTCTGTGCTGACTGATTAGACTCCCCCCGCCTCTTCCACCCCCCCCCCAATCCCACTGAACTGGTGCTACCTTTGTGTAACCTTCTTCATTCTCAAATTAGACTTAGCTCTTCCTTCCCCTCCTCCTGCTGTATCACAAATAATGCTTCTGTAGAGCAGTTGTGCCAAATAATTACTTGTATCTTTGCCTTAATGAAAGGTTGTAAGTTTCTTGAGGGTAGGAAGTATATTTTTATCTTTGCATCTCGCATATCGAGCACAGCATCTGGAACTTGGTAGGTTCTCAAATACTATTAGTTAGGCCCTGGCTGGTGTAGCTCAGTTGGTTGGGCATTGCCCAGTGCACCAAAAGGTTGCCGGTATGATTCCCTGTCAGAGCACATGCACGAGGTGCACCTCGATTTCCAATAGGGGGTATGCAGGAGGCAGCTGATTATGTTCTCAGCTCACATCATTGTTTCTCTCTCCCTCTTCCTCTCTCTAAAAATCAATAAAAATATATATTAAAAAAAACACACCACTATTAGTTAAATTTGTTGAATGTGTCTGCAAGGACCTCATTGGAAGAATGAGCTAATAGGTAAACCAAAAAACGGATTGTGGCAAATACTGTAATAAAGGGAGTGGAAAGTGTTACAGCGAGAGAAGAAAGAGATTGGTAGACTTGTGTATGGCTCCGTAAATGCCATTCAAGCTGGGTCTTTACAAATGAGTAATGCTGTAAACATTTATGATGGGTGAAGGACGTTTGGGTTAAAGGGAACATTAAAGGCAATGACACAGAGTTGTGACACTGCCTAGTTTGTTAGAGAAACATGAAGAATTTGGTGTGACACCTGTGGAAGATTCTTGGGGAGTACAATGGTACATGATGCACCTGGTGAAAGATATGGATATAGTGGAGACTGGAGGTCTTCTGGATTATATCCTCTCTATTGAGGAATTGTGGGAGATGGCATTGCTACTGCCTTTGGAACAAACATATTTTAGCATATCTGTAAAAGTGAATAGCTTAATGAGTCATTGCTTCACTTTGGAAAACATTGGGAAGTTTCTGAGCTTTGTATATTAGTTGCAATTCATGTATGACCCACTTACAAATAAAATTGGACATAAAAGTAAGTAACATGGTTTATGTGATAACTCAATGCCAGTTTACAAATAATTCCATTTCGCAGTTAAGGCATTGTTTAGCGTTTATGCCACTATGATGTCTTATTAGTTATTGCTTGAGACAGTGTAGTGGTCAAAAGGCACAGGTTGTAGTTTCCTCTTGTGATTCTCTAAAAGGTCGAATAGCTCACTATATAGTTAGGCTTCCTTAAAAAACCTGAAATCTGTTTGCCTCCGTGAAGGAAGGCTCTGTCAGGGAGCCTGATTGTGCCACTGTTTCTTCTGGGCCGGCTAGACTTCCAAGGAAACACCCTTCCTCCAGAATACTTGCTCCCCAAGGCTGTCAAGATATTTGATGATTTTATTACTGGTAAATTACTGGTTTTTATGCATATCACTATTAACATTGCTATGCCAGTAAATATTAGACTATTAAAAGGAGAACATACTTTTAAGCACAAGTTGGTACCTTAGTATATTATAAATTACTTTCCTCTGGTTAATTTTCCTCCTTTGCAAAGCCAGCAACTTTAAGAAGATCACGCTCTGGCTTCCTGTGGATTCCAGGCACTTCACGTAATGCTCTTCCTTTCTGTACTGTCCATCTCACACTGTTACCTGAGAGGACATGCCTAATTCCAGGGAAATCCCATGGTAGCCAAGGATTTCATTGTTTTGTATGCTAACATCAACACATCTGTGTCTGATTGATCAAAGAACAAGAAACTTATATACAACTGTGGGAACTTTTCCCAGCAGGAATAAGAGGCATATGGCATGTATGATAAAGAGTCTCTCCACATGACCAAGTTCCAGAGCTGTCTTGAGCTTGTTGGTGTGCACTCTTTGTGGAGTGAAGCTGTCCCACTTTCCTGGTCTTATTCTTCCAGCTGCGTTGGAAGCACATTGTTGGGGAAGTTTGAAGACAAGTGATTCTAATGGAGATGTTGGAACACAGTAGCCCGGCATTTTGAATCTTTACAGTTTTACCCTCCTGCATGGCACCAGTCATCTAAAAAGTTTATGATGCATTGATTTACATTATATCACTTTTGCTTTCCCTAAATGTAGCACAGGCAGTGAAAAGCAATGTTATCCCATTATGGCCAGACCTTTTACGTCATCGTTAGGAATCTTCTGAGAAAGGACCTAAGTTGTCGATAACCAATTTGGAAAGTGGATAATTAAATACAATTTTTCATTTGTAAAAATATTCATAGCAAGTGAGATATGTGAGCAATACCTTAGTCCTTTGTGCACATTATCTGAGTGAATTGATTCATTGGCCTCTGTTTTAAGATGTGTCCTTTGTCGATGTATAGTGTTTTATCTTTCTTTACTTTCTGTGGTATATCTGGCATCTGCTTGCTCTTCTTTTTGTCTCTCTGCCCCTCTTGTCCTCCCTCTCTCCTCTTCCTCTCTTTCTCATAAGCATGTGCACACATATCCACAAACACACACACTTTGAGTGAGTGAACATTAATGATACAACAGAGGTACATCTCTGTGTCTTGGTGAGTAATGGGTAATCTTTCTGTATGTAATGAAGAAAATTTGATTATGTTTCTAATTTTTATAATTTTATCTCTATTTTCTGTTTGTGATAACCTTGTCCTTTAAATCATGGAGAAAAAGCATTATCCTCATTATAACTGAACTATGTTATTTAAGAAAGAATATTTGGCAGTCACAGAAAAATTAGTGAATTGCATTGGAGGCTAATAGCACTGTAGCAAGTAGCATTTTGGAGAATTTTCAGGTGTCAGTGAGAAGTAACATGCACAGTGAGAAATTGAAAATAGTAACTAATCATGTTAATGTGCCTTCTTAAGAAACATTCTGACAGTAACACCTTTTTCTGTATTTTAGCCTCTCTGTTCCATGCCTGAGAGTACAGAGGTGATGAAAAGACAGAAGTACTACAGCAGTGACAGCAGTTATGATAGTAGTGAGAGCTCTTCAGAATCAGATGAAAATGAAGAGTACCAAAATAAAAGAAGAGAAAAGCAAGTTACTTATAATCTTAAACAGTCCAACCACTTCAAAATATTCCAACCATCCAGTAAGTTAATTTCTTAAAATTTAGTTATTATCTGAAGAATTATGGAACTGAATTATAAAACTCAATAAAAGGATCTTGGGCCAAATGAATGCTTGTTTGGTGTGAGGAGACCTGAATTCTATCCACATTCTTCCCTAACCAGACGTGGGTATGTCCCACAATCTCATTCAGGGTCTGCAAGTAGAAGATGAAAGAGTTGACATAAGAATCACTATAGTCCATTCTTCTGTATTTCATAGTTTTTGTTAAGCCCTAGGCTTCTGCTAGGATTTATAAATTTTGTGGATTTATAAATTGTGATGCGTGACTGATCTGCTGATTGCCTTCTCTCTTAAGCCAATATATTTTTTCATGCCCTTTCCTGCTTTCTCTACCTCTCTGCCACCCATTTTGTTGCGTATCCTTGCCTACTTTTTAAAATATGTATCTCTCTAGGTATTTGACTTGAATGTGTCTGTGAGCCACACAATTGTGAAATAGTTTTGTTTCCTCTCATTTTCATCATGGGTAAGCACTAAAGTTGGGGCTTCTGGTGTATTGGGGGAGTGAACAACCAGCTTCTCTGTCTTCTTCCTTTTTAGTTTTCTTTTTCTTATTATTTTTTAATATTTTTATTGATTTTTTATGGAGAGGAAAGGAGGGAGATAGAGAGCTAGAAATGTCGATGAGAGAGAGTCATCGATCAGCTGCCTCTTGCACACCCCCTACCGGGGATATGCCCGCAACCAACATACATGCCCTTGACCGGAATCGAACCTGGGACCTTTCAGTCTACAGACCGACACTCTACCACTGAGCCAAACCGGTTTCGGCTTTAGTATTATTTTTCTTTCTTCCTTTATGTCTTTTTACATTTTCTCTTCTGTTCTCCTGTCTTTTATTGCTTCTTTGATCCCTAGTGTCCACTATTGTGTCCATAGTTTTTCTTTCATCCCCAAATGTCCAGTGTGGCATCCCTCTTTGCCCCGGATCCCTTAGCTATCCCTTCCTGACACTGCCTGCAATGCAGGACTAATTCTTCTCTCTTGTTTCTCACATCTCTGTTTGCCTTGACTTTCATTGTCTCAGGGCTCCATTAAAGGGACTGCTCCAATCATGCAATAAACACGATATGAGCCTTTGTTCATTTCTAGCAATGTTTTAATATGTTCGCTTCCCTGATAATAGAATTTTGTCTTTAACACTTATGGCAAAATGCATGAGGAAAGCATAACTAATAGATGAAGATCTTAATGGTCTTTCATTTGCTTCTACATTATTTCATAAAGATACCTGCTAATGTTCTTGTCTTTGAAGGTTTATGTGTTTGGAAGGGAAATAATGTTGTATTATGTTCCATTGCATTTGTTAATTTACTCATTTAAGGTATGTTTATTGAGCACCTGTTCCATAGTTTATAGCTATTTTATCAGAGTCTTCCTTTTTTTCTTAAAGTTCTCAAGTATAATACTTTCAGTATGTCTCTGTGTATGACTCTGTTTTTCTCAGAAGCTGGACTTGTTTTGCCCAGATTCACCCATTTTTAACTCCTTTTGACTAATGTGTGCATCCCTCAAAGCAATGAATTAGCAGAGAAAAGGGTAGGATTAAGAAAAATCATTCAGGTTCTCATAGCTTTGAGATTGTTCTTTGTTCTTAGACCAATAGGTTAATAAATCAAAATTGGACAAATTATACACTGAAATGTTTTTAAGTGTGAATTCTCCTTTTAAAATTAATTTAATTTCATATCTTTTAACTAAGTATTAGATTTTACATTTATAGTCATTAGAGATTGTAATAAGGGTTTCTCTTTGTTTTATATTCTCTCTTACCCTAAGTAATATAGCCACAGACCCTTCTTGAGTTTTCTGTCCAAAGTAATGATGATGAACAAGGACAGTCCAGATTATTTGTAGCACTTTCTGTTGTAGATGGTAGGAAACTCAACTTGTTATAGTTTCGAAAAATATATTTTGGGTTGATATGTGTCATATACAAAACTATATTAAATATTTTTTCACATACTTGTTTATTTAAATTACAACTATTTTTTTTTGTTAACCGACCTAAATGTCATTGGCATATCTAACTATTTAGTTATTGTGTCTGAATTTTCAGTGTATGCATGGGAAAAATGGGAATCTTTGGCCATTCAAGAGAAAGGATAATTTCCTTCTACATCTCTCGTCAGATGACACATGTCCAAACCTATGCTGTGACCTGTGTGGCTAGAGAGAACAAGACCTGAGTAGGGGCAATGGGAGATTAAGGAAAAGACACAGAGATATTATACAAATAAAATTGGGATCAGGTGGGACAGTGTTCTCGATGGAGAGACAGTGGCTCAGAGCTAGTGCAGCACATTTATTATATACAGCATGATACCATGATAAACTCTAGTAAAACTTCTAGAATTTAAGTAGCAGGAAATTATGTTAAATCATGCTTAAAGATTAAGCTGCATTCTTCGTTCTTGAGGCTTCTTAATCTTGTCAGGCCTGGATGAACCCAGATAATAGCATCCGCCCCTGGTGCCTGAGTGAACCTAGATAATAGCATCTACCCTTGGTGCCTGAGCTAAAGGTCAGGACTGACAACATTCCTGCCTTTGGCAAGGTATGTTTCCATAGAGTGGATTTGCTGACTGTTTCAGGGATTCAGCTGAGGACCTTTGCTCAGGTACTCTCCCAGGTGCTCTCCACACAAACCACCACTTGAAGCCTTACAAGACAGCAGGGTCCAGGTGCAGATTGAAGCACATGCTTTGGGTACTTGGTAGAAGAATGATCTGGGATATGTTCTCCACACAGCCCTCTCTAGCAGCACTGTCCTTTCAAAAATGGTGTGACTTTTAAATTTAGGTGGAAGTTACTAGTTTAAAGAAATGGAGGTGGTAAAAGTGTTTTTTAAAAAACATCTTTTAGCCGAACCGGTTTGGCTCAGTGGATAGAGCATCGGCCTGCGGACTGAAAGGTCCCAGGTTCGATTCCCGGTCAAGGGCATGTACCTTGGTTGCGGGCAATCCCCAGTAGGGGGTGTGCAGGAGGCAGCTGATCGATGACTCTCATCAATGTTTCTAACTCTCTATCCCTCTTTCTTCCTCTCTGTAAAAAAAATCAATAAAAAACAAAAAAACAAACATCTTTTATAGCTTAAATATATACTTCTTTTTACTCTTTTGAACCAAATGAGGAGTATTAGGCTTCATATCTATTCAAAATATCATTTATAAATACACCCTTAAATATAAGATTTATATATCCACTGCCTTTAAAAAGGTTTACATTTTTTCAACAGCTAATGAAGGGAAATATTTGCTATCCAGCTTGCCTTTATGTGAGTTTTATTTAACCAATAAAGATTGATATATTCCTAAAGAGAATATAATATAGCACAGAAGGTATATAAAATATATGAACTAAAAAAGATATAAATATTGATAATATTGAGTGGTATTCTATTTTTCTGTGTCAGAAATCAAATTTACCTGAAACAGTGAATTCTCTCTTTTAAATTTCCCCAATGTATAATGGGGAAGATATCCTATGGTTTTCCTACTTGTTTGTTCTGATTACATCTCTTTAGTACCATATACTTTTCTTCATAATCTATTGCTGTGGGAATTTAATCTATTTTTAAAAAATTCTTCTCTCATGTGAATAAGAAGACTGTCTAACATCACTCATGTAATATATATTTAAATTCTATTAGGATAATCTTTATATTTTTCTTCTTGTGTTTTTTTTTTCCTCATGGGCCTGAAATTCTGTAACACTATAGACTCCTGTCCATTCCTTCCTATAAATCGTACCATAAAATATTTTTCTTATGACTTATATACAGATTCTAATGATTGACCAATCTAATCCAAGGATAAAGGATACCTTTTCATGGTCTCACAGGAAGAATGAGACACTGGCATTAGACAGATCAGGGTTTACACCTGAGCTTGGCACACTCTCTTGTTGTGTGACCCTGAGAAAGTTCTTTTCCTGAGCCTCCGGGCGATGGGGATTCCTGCTTTAGGGGGTTTCTGTGAGGATTAGAAAAAAAAGTGTATGTAACATGATGCCTGGCTTATAGAAGGCTAGTTTTCCTTTCCACAAATATTAGTTTATCTTTCTTCTGGTTCTTCTATGTCATATTTTGAGAACAGAAAATTAAGGGTCCTGTTTAAATATTCTCATGATAGCCATTCTACATACATGACACGTGTTCTGCACCAAATTCAGTATTTAAACTCCAGACTTGTGTTCTCACAATTGCTTTGACAATTATCACTTGCCATGCCACTACCCTGTGGTCTAATTGTTAGTTTATATGGTGGGAAATTCTATTAAGTATTCCTCTTCTCCATCATTGATAGGTTCCATAAGGCGTTCATTCAGTTGCCCTCGGTCCATCTCTTCTCAATCACCTTGTAGTGCGGACATCCGTCCTCTTTCTGCTCAACAAACGATGTCAGCATCCCGGACAACTTCATCGTGTCGATCACATTCCTTAAACCGTGCTTCCTCCTACACGAGGCATCTGCCTCATAATAATGATGCCAGCTCTAACTTTCAAGTGGTAAGTCATCTACTTTGCTCCTTTTGAGACTACAGGAAGCATTGTACTGAGATTTAGGTGGAAAAGGGATAAGCTGGAAGGAAGATAGATTGAACCCCATTATTCAACTCACAGTCTCCAGGATTTTGGATTGCTGCATCTCTTTGGCTTATCACTTAGTATGATCTCTTACAAGGCAGACCAGAATATCAAAGAACTTTAGAATGAATACTGTGAATAGCATTTTATTTTCCACTTGCTTATATAGTTGGTAATTTTGTTGAAAATCACCTAAGGAAATATATGATTTTATAGTGTACTAGAGGCCCGGTGCACAAAATTCATGCACAGGGGCAGGGGGTGTCTCTCAGCCCAGCTTGCACTCTCTTCAATCTGGGACCCCTCGAGGGATCGGGTCTAAATGGGCAGTCAGACATTGCTCTCACAATCTAGGACTGCTGGCTCCCAACTGCTCACCTGCCTGCCTTCCTGATTGCCCCTAACCGCTTCTGCCTGCCTGATCACCCCCTAACATTCCCATGCCAGCCAGATTGATATCTAATTGCTCCCCTGACAGCCTGTTTGCCCCCAACTTCCCTCCTCTGCCGGCTTTGTCACTCCTAACGTCCCTCCCCTGCAGAGTTGATCACCTCCAACTGCCCTCCCTTGCAGGCTTGGCCCCTCTCAACTGCCCTCCCTTGCAGGCCTGATCACCCACAACTACCCTCCCTTGCAGGCCTGGTCCCTCCCAACTGCCTTCCCCTGCTGGCCATCTTGTGGCGGCCATCTTGTGTCCACATGGGGGCAGGATCTTTGTCCACCTGTGGGCACCCATCTTGTGTGTTGGAGTGATGGTCAATCTGCATACTCTTTTATTAGATAGGATAGAGGCCTGGTGCATGGGTGGGGGCCAGCTGGTTTCCCTGAAGGGTGTCCCTGATCAGGGTCAGGTTCCCTTGAGGCGTGGGGTGGGCTAGGTAAGGGGTCTGTGGTGGTTTGCAGGCCAGCCAAGGTCCCTTGGACCCAAATGGAGGCCCTGGTGTCTGGAATTTATTTATCTTCTACAATTGAAACTTTGTAGCCTGGAGCGGAGCCAAGCCTCCTGCTTGCTCTGTGGCTGCTGCAATTTCTATTTGGATTTGTTTACCTTCTATAATTGAAACTTTGTATCCTCGAGTGTAGGCCTGGGCTGGCCGCGGTGTGTGAAAGCTTGCCTTCCTCCCGGGAAACCCAAGCCTCCCTCCTGATAGCCATCTTGGTTGGGTTCATTTGCATACTCACTCTGATTGTCTGGTGGGCGCGGCTTGTGGGTGTAGCAGAGTGATGGTTAATTTGCATATTAATCTTTTATTAGGTAGGATTATGCAGTATATTAGAAAATTTGGAGAAATTTGTTGTGTGGAATTTTTAATGAGTATTGATTAATAGTGTAAAAAGTAAACAATTGACAAATTATCCTTAGAGTACTGAAATACAACATTGTTTATGTTTTCTGTATATTAAATTAACATATAGTATTCCCTCCTTAGCAAGAGTCCCAGAGGTTCAGTATTGAATTAAGTCAGTGAATTTATTTGGCTATCAGACTTGTAGATACTCAAATAGATAATGCCAAGTATATTCACAAAACCAGACATTTATTTAATTTGTTTATTTACTGTGGATGATCCAATGAAAGTGTCTGGAAAATATAAGTGAATGAGTTTCACTTGTTAACGAGTGATTTTTTTTCTTTTTTCCTAATTAAGAATCACCAAAGGTATATGTAATAAGTGAAACTTTTGACCTGGAAGTTTTTTTTAACCATTCATATTTATTTTTTAATATTTTGAGCTAAATAAATGCACTGTGTGGAAGTATAAAAGATATTATTAGGAAATCATATCTACTTAATCCTAAGAATTGAATTCTAAGAATAAATGTAAAATTTTTTTCTTCTGCCTTTTTCATTTTTTTATTTTTCCAATTAAAAGTGCATTGTTTTTACCTAGAAATATCTTTCAGACTATAGTGGCACAATGAAATAAGACCCCCTCCAAATATCTGTGTTCTTTCAAATTTAAGAGTGAGTCTTTGCGGCAACCGAAAACAAAAGAACAAGAAGAGGATCTAACAAGTCAGACCTTATTTGTTCTCAAGGACATGAAAATCCGTTTTCCAGGGAAATCAGATGCAGAATCACTACTTCTGGTGGAAGATGTGAGTATTTGACATGTATAAAATTCCAAGGACCTCATTAAAAAAAATAAATATATATATATATATATATATATATTTTATTGATATTTTACAGAGAGTAAGAGAGAAAGATAGAGAGTTAGAAACATCTATGAGAGAGAGAGACATCGATCAGCTGCTTCCTGCACTCCCCTTCCCCCCCTCTGGGGATGTGCCTGCAACCAAGGTACATGCCCTTGACCGGAATCGAACCCAGGACCCGTCAGTCCGCAGGCCGAAGCTCCATCCACTGAGCCAAACCGGTTTTGGCGGGAGCTCATTCTTTTTATTCTGCTTAGGATATTAACATTTATTTACCCATGGAGGCATTCTCAGTGTCATAGTAAACTTAACTGATGTTCTCTTTAACCTCCTCAAGCTGCAGAAAATACAGGGGCTATTTGAATTATTATTATTCATGAGCAGTGAGATTACCTTTATAATTAGCAATGCAAAATACCTTTTAGTTCATTGTCCTATTTTACTGTTGCAACCAAGCAAAAATGATTTATGTTATTCAATTATTGCTCTTAATGTTTAAAGAACTATCAAGTTATAGCTGCTTCTATAAAGATTTAGAAAGATCTAATATCGAAGTGATATGTAATAAAAAAAAAAAGTAAGCTTTGGGGATAAAGTATCAAGAATGTGATACCATGAATGATTTTGGTTAAATTTTGAAATGGCTTATGCTGTGTTTTTCTTGTTACATACACATTTGCACCACCCAGTGGAACATTCTAAAATGGCAGAGTCTTAAAATTCACACTAAACTCAATGACTTTAACTTATTAGAAAGGTCCACATTATTTAAATATTTTTGGTGAAAAAACATTTAATTTAAAGTTCTATGTCTTCATTCAAACATTCTTTTCAAATTGCTGTTCATAGATAATTCCTCAATAATAGAACTTTATTTTCAGGTTTCCCTAATATTACTTTTTTTCCCAGTGGCGAGGGCACCATCTAGTGGCCAGTTGTAAGATAAAAACCACAGATATGCACTGGCCTTTTTTTCACTTTTTAGCATTAAGTTTGTCTAAAGCAACTATCTAGAAACAAATACCAAAACAAGTAATAAAAACAACTCTATTAGTTTAAAAAATCAATCAAGGATATTTCTATTTTGTAATCATGACATAGTTGTAACCAAAACCCCCAAATATTTTGCATTGTGTTGTTATATATTTTAAAAAAAAAGTAAAGATAGCATCTTGTCTGCAGATGAGCTGCTATTTGTTATATCAAGGGAAAAGGAATACAAATTGATATTAGTTGTAAGTCACTATGATAGACATGCTTTTATTTATATGTTATCTTATTTAATCAAGTTCTTTTCTAAATATAGCCAATGACTTTGTACCAGATAGTTTGCTTTGATTTCTTAGCTATATTAATAAGATACCATCGTTTTAAATCATGTAGAAGAAAAATTAAATGATCAGAGAGTAGAACTAATATTTGTGGCTAATATGATTGTTTTATCAAAAAACATATGGGTTTACATAATTAATGACTAATAATTAGATCATTACTCAGATTATTTACTATATGTTCACTATATGCAGCACATATTTTAATCTATTTGTTACAGTATATATTACTAGAATATATATTCAGAAATTTTGCAGATTTGGCAAAAATAAAAAAAAGGGATAATAGAATCCTAGTTATATATAGGCTATCTTCTATGTATTATACAATATTCTGTTATTATGGGTGATATGGTTTTGAAATTAAAATGGAAAATCTACTTCAAACCTTATATGCCTAAAGACATTTTACTTTCACTTATTATAGACTCTGTGCTTTTTACAGCAAGAAGTAAAAAATTTGGATTCAGATGGCTTCTTAACCTTATGTTAGAAATCCTTTTTAGTAAAGCAGATATATTTTTATTGATTTTTTACAGAGAGGAAGGGATAGGGATAGAAAGTTAGAAACATTGATGAGAGAGAAACATCGATCAGCTGCCTCTTGTACACCACCTATTGGGGATGTGCCTGCAACCAAGGTACATGCTCTTGACTGAATTGAACCTGGGACCTTTCAGTCTGCAGGCCAATGCTCTATTCACTGAGCCAAACTGGTCAGAGCTACAGTAGACATTCTTTATTGCAAGTAATATTATAGTGCTTTCATTTCACAAATTCAGTACTAAAACCAGTTTCAACCCATTTATTTACTTTTTTACTTTTTACTTTTGAGGAACATTCTAGATTACATTTCTTAATGTTTCTCCCCATGACAGATCCTTGATAACTGGAAGCTTCATAAAACAAAAGTGGCTTCATATTGGCTCATAAAATTGGACTCTGTAAAACAACGAAAAGTGAGTAATGCTTCAAAGCGAGTTTTCCCTTTTAGATCGTCTTGAACTAGAATGATTAAGCCACATTCATAGTCAAACTATATACATATGTGCATTTGTTTACTCATTTTTTCAATAAATATTAATTGCATACCTGCTGCTATAGCACTGTCCAAGATTCTGAGGATAAAAAAGTGAATTAAAAAAACAACAACTATTGTCTCAGAGAGCTTACAAAAACTTGAGAGGAACAGGTTCAAGAGTAAAAGACAGAGAAGAAGAAAACAGCTAGTACTGGCATTCTTTGCAAGGAATTTTGCTGTAGAAGGGAACAGGGATGGGGGTTAATGACAAGTTTCCTTTAAAGTTGAAGAGATTTAGCCCTGGCCTGTGTAGCTCAGTTGGTTGTTCTTTGCACCACAAGGTTGCAGGTTCATTTTCCATCAGGGCACATGTCTAGGTTGTGGGTTCCATCCCTGGGGTTCAGGCAGGAGGAAACTGATTGATATTTCTCATTTCTCTCTCGCTTTTATTCTCTCACTCACTTGGACCATATCTAAAATAGAAATCAATAAGCATGAACTCGGGTGAGGACTAATAATAATAATAATAAGATGAAGAGACTTAGTTTGTGTGCTGATGAGAATGGTCTAGTGGAGAGGAAAGAGAGGTGATAGAAAGTCCTTAAGTAAGTAAGTGGGGGAGGTTTGTCCTAACAGGAGCATTAATTCTAATTATCTAATAGGAGGGAAGGCAGAGACCATGGCAGTGTAGTGAAGATGTGAGGGCTGTAGAGATTTGAGCAGGCAGTGGAAAGTATGTAATAGCTATCTTGGATAGTAGGAGATGAGTGTGGCCAGCAGTCTGAGGGGCCATCAAATGCATTGCAACATTATTTTGGGGGAGAGATACAATTTTAATAGCTTTAGTGATAATGTTGTGTTCCTTTAGTAATGCAAGCTATTATTTCCCCTTTCTAGGATTTATTGCAATAAGATGAAAGTTGACACTAATTAAGTGATAACTTACATATTGTCATCTGAGTAACTGAACTCACTATTATAGTAACACATTCAACAAAGAATTGCTTGGTGTTCTGGCATGTGCCAAATATTGTGCTGCTGTTGAGGAGGGTATAACAAAGCTGGTAACAGAGGTAGATTGCAAAACACATTACAAACCCTGAATAGATTTTTGCCAAATCACCAACTGTGGCCTTGCTTGATTAAAATAAAGACTTTTTATTAGAATAAGTACATGAATTTTCTAAAGTCCATGTACTTTTTGTAATCTAGAAGTTAGAATAGTGTAGGTAAGTTGCTGATTAAAACAAAACAACCTAGAAACAGATTAAAGAATTTATCAGATATTAACACATGATAAATGTGACATTTCAGATCAGTGGAGAAAAGATAATTGTTCCCCTAAATGATACTGAAACAATTGAGTACCTATTTGTAAGAAAATTAAGTTGTAGCCTTATCTCTTACCATATACAAAAATAAATTTCAGATTATAATTTTATGTGTAAAAAAGAAAGTATTCAAAGAAAACATAGAAGGATCTCTCTCTATATAAAAACCTAAGTGACTGTTACAACCGAACAACTGGGACAACCAGAACGACCAGTTGCTATGATATGCACTGACCACCAGGGGGCACCTGCGGAATGCAGGAGTGCTGCTCAGCTGACAGACCCATCCCAGTGGCCCAACAGCCCGGCTCAGTAGTCCTGCAGGTACAATCTCCAGAGAATGGGCCAGGCACCAATGGACCAGCACCGCTGGCAGGATCCCAACAATGCTGCTGGCCTCCTGGAAGTTAGCCTCAGGCATCACAGCCACTTCCTCTCCCTAGATGCTCAGCAAGGAAGAAAGAATATAAAAGCAGCCGCCAGGTGGCTCCTGACAACTGGCATGAATGTCAGCGGAATGGATCTGGATCCCCAATAGGCAAGGGCATCTGGAAGGCCAATCTTGTCCTGCCCCTGCATGCTTCGGGATATCACCTTTGCATGAATTTGTGTGCCAGACCTCTAGTATATTTATAATCTTAGAATGGAAAATAATGTCTAAAGAAAGACCTAAAACTCAAAAATATTAAAAAAGATAGGCATATTTGATTACATAAAAACTTACCAATGGCAAAAGACTCCTTAAACCAAGCTGAAAGGCAGAAGCAGTGAGAAAGATGGGGGTATTTGCAGCACATAAAACACAAGCACCAGTAAACTAACACCACCTATGAATCAATGAGCAAAAGAAACTATCCTATAAATATTAATAAATAAAATGGCAAGTGTATAAAAAGGCTATGAAAAGACAATTTATGGATCTTCAAATAGCCAATTCATGTATAAATTGATGCTTGGCCTCACTAATGATGAAAGAAAAGCAAGTAAAAACCATCATATTGGCAATAATTAATAAGACAGATGATAGCCAGTCAATGAAATAATGTGATTAAAAGGCTTTTACCAAACAATTAGAGGGAGAATGCATTGGTATAACCTTTTAGAAAGATAATTTGCACTACCTATTAAAATGATAGGTGTTCGTAACCTAATGACTCCGCAAAACCACTTGCAGAACTCTATTCTACAAAAGAATTGTTGAGTGAGAGTCTTTGAGTAGGCAGGAAGAGCGTCTAGCCTGCAATGTAGGTCTGACACTGAGTGAAAGACAGAAGGGTGGAGTATGAAGACCCTTAGACTTTGGTGAACTTCTGAGAAAGCCTGGGCAGCTGATGGGGATCCCAGAACAAAGATTGCTTTTCTGGGGATCAGACTGGGCAGACGTAGTCCATTTCTGGTAACCAACTCGGTTGGATCCTTGGCCAGGAATAGTCCGGGAGAGCATCAGCGTGGCTTGAGAGTTGTAGTGATCCTGAATGGAGATGCTGTCAGCTAACTTCACTCTTGAATTCAAATGGCATGTCTCCATGGCTGCCACAAAGGCTGTGTGGGGTGTGATTTAAGTTGACAAACATTTATTGGTTGCCAATTTTGTGCATGAATGATAATATTAGGGATTTGCAGAGTTGTTTCTTCATTTAATTGTGTATTCAACCATGCATTGAACAAGATTAATTGAAGGACTACCATGTCCTGTGCACCATGCTAGGTGTGGAATGCACAAGACTCATAAAAATCTTTTCATTACATTTAGAGATCATGGTTAAAATGTGTCTCACTGTTTCTGTTCCAGGATCTAAGCATTTGCTGGTTGCTCATTAGAATGTTGTAAAACTCTTAGATAAGAATGCCATACACAGGAGCTCTTCCACATGCCTTATTTCAAAGTTCCCTTAATGGGTGTAAAATGTAAAGGTCAAGGATGTAGGGATTAAATACTGAAAAGAATCCTCACCAGGTGAAAATGGAAACAGCTAATCTTACTAAATGCCATGTTATGGTAATTTCACACTTGCATAATTTAGCTTTCTGCCAATAATGCATTTGCTTTATATAGTTTGTAAGGAATATATGAAGTATGAAAATATTGCAGTGTTGTGTTTTGTGAAAAATGCCAAATTTGCTAGAAGTTTCATCTTTAGGCATAAACTAAGATTGGGGGATGAAGAGAGATAAGTAGTGATATTAACATGGCAGTATATTTGCATTTATTTTAGGGTTCTAAGAGATCTTTGTGTATCAAGTACTTTTTTCTCTAAACAACTATTTTTCTTTCATACCTACTGTAGCTGCTTCTGCATGCATTTTGGTGTTATTATTTTCCATCTCTTTTTATTTTTTTATTTATTTTTTATTTGGGCTACCATAGATGCTACAAAGAGCTGTTGATTTTGCACCAGCAAAGATGCCTTTACCCCATAGCCAGGGCTGCTGCATGCATTATTAGTACAGCATGTAGTAATGTTAATGTTACTTCTAATCCTCCTCATCTCATGCCATTATTTTAATTTAGGACCAACTGTTCAGCCATATGGAGCAGTTTGTCATTCAACATTTGCACGTTCTTGTAAAAAATATGAATTTGTGTCTGTGCTTTATACCTTCAACTGTGCTATATTTCTTATGGAAAATACACATCTTTTCATGTTATTAATTCTTTCATTGACTGAGTCTTCCATTTACTTTTTCCCTTGGAGAACTTAATGTTGGATTGGAATGTTTTTAAAAGTCACAGTGTTGGAAATGGATGCCCATGTTCTGTAGGTTTGCCTCACTTGAATCCACAGGTAAACACAAATGGCACCTTGCTGATCATTTGTTTTAGTGTTTCAAAAAAATTTTTTTTTAATTTTCCATCCACTTTCTTCTAACTCAGAGGTCTAAAAGAGCATTGCAAAAGAACCTACACTGGTTACCTCACCTCAGTCTGCCTTTCTAAACTTATTTAGTGAGTGTTTTACTAAAGGTACAGTCCTTGTCTTTCCATCAAGATGGTCTTTTAAACAAGCTAGTCCTTGCACCAAGGCCCCAATGGAGGGAGTGCCTAGGCAGTCTTGTTTATACACAACAATCCCACCCAATTTTCCAAGTATTTCTTAACTGGAAGTGAATTCGAATCTTAGAAGAGACCATTTGATTCTCTCTTAGGGTAGTATTCTATTGTATAAATGTACTACAGCTGTTTTATCCACTCATCTACTGATGGGCGCTAGAGCTGCTTCCAAATGTTGGCTGTAAATAGCACTTTAATGAACATAGGGGTGGATATACTTTTGATCAGTGTTTTGGATTTCTTTGGATAAATTTCCAGAAGTGGAACTGCTGCATCATAAGGCAGTTTCATTTTTAATTTTTTGAGGTAACTCCATATTGCTTTCCACAGTGACTGCACCAGTCTGCATTCCCACCAGCAGGGCACTAGGGTTCTCTTTGCTCCACACTCTTGCCAACACTTGCTGTTTATTGATTTATTGATGATAGCCATTCTGACATGTGTGAGGTGATACCTACTGTGGTTTTAATTTGCATTTTTCTGATGATTAGTGATGTTGAACTTCTTTTCATATGCCTACTGGCCATTTGTATGTCCTCTTTGGAGAAGTGTCTCTTCAGGACCTTTGCCCATTTTAAAAAATTGAATTGTTTGTTTGTTTTTTGGTGTTGAGTTGTATATGTTTCTTTTTTTATATATATACATTTTAGATATTAACTCCTTATCAGCTGCATCCCTGATGCATATGTTCTCCCTTTCAGTGGGTTGTCTTTTCAAAAGTTTTGTCTGTGCAAAACCTTTTTTATTTTAATGTAGTCCCAGTTGTTTATTTTTTCTTTTGCTTCCCTTGCCTGAGGTGATAGATCAAAAAAAATATTGCTATGAGATATGTACCTCCTCTGTTTTCTTCTAGGATGTTTATGGCTTTGAGTCTAACATTTAAGTCTTTAATCCATTCTGAGTTTATTCTTAGGTATGGTGTAAGAAGGTGATCTGTTTTCTTTTTCTTTTTCTTCCTTTTTTTTTTTTTTTTTTTTTTTGCACTTATCTGTCAGTTTTCCCAACCTATTTATTGAATAGACTTTGTTTACCCCATTATATGTTTTTGGCTCCTTGTCAAATATTAATTGACGATAAAGACATGAGTTGATTTTGGGGCTCTCTGTTCTGTCCTATTACTCTGTATGTCTGTCTGTTTTTATGCCAGTAGCATCCTGTTTTGATTACTATGGCCTTTTAGTATAGTTTGGTATTAAGTAGCATGATTCTTGCAACTTTGTTCTTTTTTAAGGTTGCTGTGGTTATTCAGAGTATGTTGTGGTTTCATATAAATTTCTAGAATATTTGTTCTAGATTGCTTTGGGCAGTATGGGCTTTTTAAAAAAAATATATATTTTATTGATTTTTTTACAGAGGAAGAGAGAGGGATAGAGAGTTAGAAACAATGATGAGAGAGAATCATCAATCAGCTACCCCCTGCACACCCTCCACTGGGGATGTACCCGCAACCAAGGTACATGCCCTTGACCGGAATCAAACCTCGGACCTTTTGGTCCACAGGCCGACGCTCTATCCACTGAGCCAAACTGGTTTCGGCAGTATGGGCTTTTTAATGGTGTTAACTCTTCCTATGCATCAACATGGTATATGTTTCCACTTATTTGTATCTCCTTCTGTTTTTTTCTTCAGTATCTTGTAATTTTCTGAGTACAGATGCTTTACACCCTTGGTTAAATTTATTCTTAGTATTTTTTTTTTTTGAAGCAATTGTGAGTAGGATTCTTTTCTTAGTTTTCCTTTCTGATAGTTCATTGTTGGTTATTAAAATGCAACTGATTTCTGGGTATTTAATTTGTATCCTGCTGCTTTATTGTGTTCATTTATCAGTTCTAGTAAATTTTTTTTGGTGAAATCTTTAGGGTTTTCTATATTCTGTATTATGTCATCTGCAAATAATGACAGTTTTACTTCTTTTCCAACTTGGGTGCTTTGTATTTCTTCTTCTTGTCTGATTGCTATGGCTAGGTCTACTAGTACTAAGTTGAATAAAAGTGGCAAAAGTGGACATCCCTGTCTTGTACCTGATCTTAAGGAAAACACTTATAGTTTTTGCCCAGTGAGTATGATGTTGGCTGTGAGATTGTCATGTAGTGTCTTGATTACATTGAATATGTTCCCTGCATTCCCACTGCTTAATGTTTTTATCATAAAAGTGTGCTAAATTTTATCAAATTTATCAAATGAATATATTGATATGATCATGTGGATTTTATCTTTCAATTTGTTTGTGTGGTGTATCACATTTATTGACTTGTGAATATTGTACCAACTTTGCATCCCCAGAATAAATCCCACTTGATTGTGGTGTATGTTCTTTTTGATGTGTTGCTAAACTCAGTTTACTAATATTTTGTTAAGGATTTTAGCATCTATGTTTATCAGGGTTATTAGCCTATAATTTTCTTTCTTTGTAGTATCTTTGTCTGGTTTTGGAATTAGGATAATGCTGGCTTCATAAAAGGAGCCTGGGAGTCTTCCCTCCTCTTAGATTTCCTTGAAATAGTTTGAAAAGGTTAGGTGTTAGTTCTTCTTTGAACATTTGGTAAAATTAACTAGTGAAGCCATCCAGTCAAGAACTTTTGTTTGTTGGGAGTTTTTAAATTACTGCTTTAATTTCACTATTGTAATCTGTCTATCCTCTGTCCAGATTCTCTGATTCATCCTGAGTCAGTTTTGGAATATTGTAGGTTTCTAGGAATTTATCTATTTTGTCCAGATTCTCCAATTTGTTGTCATAGTTGTGGTAACATTTTCTTACGATCCTTTGCATTTATTTTGTGTCAGTTGTTACTTCTCCCCTTTCATTTTTTATTTTATTTATTTGGGTCCTCTTTTTTTTTTTCCCCCTAGATGAGTCTGGTTAAAGGTTTACCAATCTTGTTTATCTTCTCAAAGAACCAGATCTTGATTTCACTAATCTTTTGTATTGTTTTTTTAGACTTTATTTTGTTTATTTCTGCTCTGATCTTTATTATTTCCTTCCTTCTACTCGATTTAGGTTTTTTCCCCCCCAAGTTCCTTTAACTGTAAAATTAGATTATTTATTTGATATTTTTCTTGTTTCTTGAGATAGACCTGTAATACTACAAATTTCCCTCTGAGGACCACTTTCACTGTGTCCCATAGATTTTGGGTTGTTGTGTTCTCATTTGTATTTGTTTTATGGTATCTTTTGATTTCTTCCTTGATATTATTGTTAATCTGTTCATTGTTTAGATATATGTTATTTAGCCTCCATGTATTGTGTTTCTCCAGATTTTTTTCTTGTGATTGATTTCTGGTTTCATACCATTATGGTCAGAGACAATGCTTGATATGATCTCAACCTTCTTAAATTTATTGAGACCTGTTTTTGTGTCCTAATATGTGGTCTATCATAGAAAATGTTCCATGTGCATTTGAAAAGAATGTATATTCTGCTGCTTTGGGGTGAAAGGCTCTGAAGATACCAATTAAATCTATCTGATCAAGTGTGTCATTTAAGGCCACCATTTCCTTGTTGATTTTCTGTCTGGAAGATCTATTCATTGATGTCAATAGCGTGGTATAATTAATTACTGTGATTGTATTACTGTCAGTCTCTTCCTTTATGTCCATCAAGATTTGCTTTACATAGTTAAGTGTTCCTATGTTGGGTGCATAATGTTTATAAAGGTTAAGCCCTCTTATTGGATTAAGTTTAATCTTCTTAACTACAGTGGTCTGACTTGCCATCTATGTCATATATGAAATTTCATGAATACATTAATGTACTTGTATTTATTTATTTTGGTCTTTTAAAAAAATTTGTGGACTTTTTAATCTGTGCTTTTGTTCAGTTATGAGTGATTGTGTGTGTAATCTTTAGATTATTTTACAAGCTTTCATATGTTATAAGCATTTTTCCATATTACATTTATTTTCCAAATAAAATAAATTAATAATTTTTTTATCTTTGACTTTGAGACACACACAAATACACCTAGATTTTGCAATATTTTTCCCCCCACTAGGTTTTGGACATAGTGAAAACAAGTATTCGCACAACCCTTCCACGCATCTGGAAGGTGGTTGATGTCGATGAACTACCTTTATATCGGATTTTTAACCGGGTTTTTAATCGCTTACTCTGGAGTCATGGCCAAGGACTATGGAACTGTTTCTGTGATTCAGGGTAAGTTCAAAGATATCTTTTATTATTGTCATTTAAAATATTTCATGGTTAGCTATAAAAGTAGCTCAATAAAAAGATTGAATTTGTTTTTAAAAATATATTTTTATTGATTCCAGAGAGGAAAGAGGAGAGAGAGATAGAAACATCAGCGATGAGAGAATCATTGATTGGCTGCCTATTGCAGGCTCCCTACTAGAGATTGTGCCCACAATCTAGGCATATGCTTTGACTGGGAATCAAACATGACTCTTGGTTCATAGATTGACACTCAACCACTGAGCCATACCAGCTTGGAAAAGATTGAATTTCTTTAATAATCTCTTAAAATGTTAATTTTTATTACTTGTAATTTTTAGTACTCAGCTATAATTTATAGCAGTTAAACTGATTTATTTGAGATGATTAATATGACAACACCACCTAACTAATCTGGATTCAGGATTCAGGGAAGAGAGGTGGTCTTAATGAAAATCTCAATATCTGTAAGGTTCTTCTACTGTTGCCACTATGTAGCAAACTTCGAAAATTATGGCTCTATTTAGACTGCTCCTCTTCAGAATTTCAGTCCTGCCATACTTGTTATGACTCATTAAAAATTTTAGCCTTGTGATGATATCTAAAGCCAAACATATCATAACACTCTTTTATTAATAAATGACTTTCCTCTTGGACCTCTCTTAATTCTATTGTATGCTCCCAATCGTACAGGTTAATATCTCAGGACCTCCTGCATCTTCCTTTTCTTTCATTTCCTTTTCTAGCCATCTGCTAAATCCTGTTAGTTTTTCTGTCACATTCCCACTGGCTGCTCTAGATTGTTTTTCATTGTTCTTAACAATTATTAAGTACTTACTTCCTACTATGTTAAATACTTTTGGAGATAAAAAGTTGAATCTAACATAGATTTGATCCTCAAGAAACTTTAAAAAAAATGTTAATAGCTGACACCATAGAACTTACAATGTGCCAGGCACAGTTCTAAACACTTTACATGTATTAACTGATTAAATCCTCATAACTTGACTTTGAAACAAGTTCTCTGATTATCTCTTTTATAAACAAGGAAACTGAGAACAAGGAAACTGAGTCACGATTAGTTGATAATGACCTAGTACCCTGGAATTTAAACTCAGGGCACCTGGCCCCAGAGTTTGTGCTCTTAAGCAATAATCTCTGTGGTCAAAGTAGCACTTCCATTGGTTGCTAAGCACCAGGGCAAGTGGAGTGGGAGTAGCTTTGAATGCATTTCTTTATAAACTTGGTGGTTTGAAAAGGTGGGTTTAATACTAGATTTTATTTTGCAGCTTTACAATGAGTTTCTTAGGGTTCCTCAATTTTATGAAACCACGTGGTGGTGTGTGTAGTTTAATTTTCAGTTTGAACCCAGAATAGTTCTACTTATATTTAGATTATATCTAGTCAATGTATAATCCTTTAACTTTGGCCTAACAGCCTAGTAATCAGGGTAACACTGTACTCTTAGTTCAGTTCTGAAGGAATTATTTTAATAAAGCACTCAGCTCTTTCACAGTTAGGTGTAAAATCTTGGAAAAATGTAATTCAAATAACTGTGCATCAACTTGATTACTGCCTCTATCTGTCAACACCTTAATAATGAAACAATAAATGAATAAATCATTCTTTTTCCACATCCAGAATTATTAAAGAATATGGTAGATCTTTGTGGTAGGTTTCTCTAGAATTGGCGTAGCGGTATTACCGATTCATCAAACAGAGAACATATTCATCCCTCTCTCTTGCTCTTGCGGCCGCTGAAGTCCATGCTTAGTGATTTATTTTCTTCCACAAGCAGCTGCCTGGGAATGTTATATTGCTCCACATTCTGAATGTGTTCTCTCCAAGGAGATAGCTCTTGGGTTTACTCACTATGTTTTACTGGGATAGCGGAAGTTTAGGTTTTGTTGAGACTCCAACAGGGCCTGTGCACTTAGGAAGGCTGGCCAATTATGTAACGTTTCAGGTGAGGTTTGTAGGAAGAGGAAGAAAGGAGCTGGCCAGGCAGAGCAAAGACGAGAATGCAGGATCTAAGGAACACTTTGTTTGGAAAAGATCTCTTTCCTCTCAAAACCCTGGTATGTAATCGCCAAAGAGGAGAATCTGGTGTGGATCCTTTAACTAAAGGCATTTTTCCTTTGGAAGTTTTTCATGGAGAAGCTTCCCTTTTAGCATCTTAAGGCAAGATGAAATTGTAAGGAATATTCTAAGGTAGTCTACTTCTAGGCTAAATTATATGACTACTTGAAAATGTACCTATAACTTAAAATTATGTGAATCTTACTGTTCTCTTATCACTTTCATTTTCATGTGTTGTTAGTAGTACTTTTCATCTCATTACTCTTTCTGTTCCCTTTTCCCTGATTATATTTAACTTTGGACCACTCATCCATCCATTAGGATTTCTACCAGAGAAGGTAGAAGTTGGTTTCACTTTTCAATTAACTGCTTTATTAAATATTTTGATGAGAAAGGGCATGAAAATTATTGCATTACTGGATTATAGGAAGCTTTTCAAGTTTCTAACTCTCATTAATACCTCCTCCCCCTTTGGTTGCCAGAGATATTTAGTATTCTGTATCTTATTGATATACTAGTGGCCCGGTGCACGAAATTCATGCACAGTGGTAAGGGGTGGTGGTCCCTCAACCAGGCCTAAACGCTCTCCAAGCTGGGACCTCTCAGGGGATATCTGACTGCCAGTGGGATCAGGCCTAAACCAGCAGATGGACATCCCTCTTGTAATCCGGGACTGCTGGCTCCTAACAGCTCACCTGCCTGCCTGCTTGATCGCTCCTAACCACTCTGCCAGCCTTCTTGCCCCCAACTGCCTCTCCCATTGGCTTTCTCTCCCCCAACTTCTCCCCCTTGCTGACCTGATCACCCTCAACTTACCCCCACTGGCCTGATCATCCCCAACTCTCCCCCACCAGCCTGCTTGTCCTCAACCCCCCCCCCCCTGTTGCTGGCCTGCTTGTCCCCAACTGCCCTCCCTACCAGCCTGTTCACCCCCAAACTGCCCCCCTGCTGGCCTGTTTGCCCCCACCTGCCCTTCCCTCCTGGCCTGATTGCCCTAACCATCTCTGCCTCAGCCCTGCCACTATGACTTTGTCCAGAAGGTCATCCGGAAGGTCTCCTGGTCTAATTAGCATATTACCCTTTTATTAGTATAGATTACTAACAAAAGTCATTTTATTTAATATTTCTCTGTGGGTGAGAATATGCCAGAAAGAACTTTTTAACCATTTTCTTTTTTCTTCTTTTTTACTTTTTTAAATATACTTTATTGATCTTTACAGAGAAGAAGGGTGAGGGATAGACAGTTAGAAACATTGAGAGTGAAATATCAACTAGCTGTCTCCTGCACACCCCCATCGGGGATGTGCCCATAACCAAGGTACAACCCCTTGACCAGAATCGAACCTGGGACCCTTCAGACTGCAGGCTGATGCTCTATCCACTGAGCCAAACTGGTTAGGGCTGTGGGGATCGGGCTGAAACCCAGCAATCTGACATCCCCCCAGGGATGTACCCCTGCCAAAGCAGCAGGTGGTCAGGGAGGAGCCCCAGCCAGGGCCCAGTGCAGCTCTGTAGGCACTCATCCTGACTGTGAGCGCATTGACCACCAGGGGGCAGCTCCTGCATTGAGCATCTGCCTTTTGGTGTTCAGTGTGCATCATAGTGACCAGTCAACCGGTGGTTACAGTCATTCGGTTGTAACAGTAGCTTAGGCTTTTATATATAGAGAGATGTAAAGGTAAATATAGCTTTCTGGAAAACCTAAATTACTGGAATACCTAACTTTTGAGAAATTAGCTCAGTATTTTACAAATACTTGATTTGTAGAGTAACTCAATTTTTTAGGTAGTGTTGGAAAACCATCCTTTTACTTACCCACTGATGGCAGCAGTAAATTCTTAAAAGACACATATTCTATGTTGTTTTTTAATATCATGATTAATTTCCAAATATGTATTTATTTTATACCTTTCAACTGTCTGCTGTCACTTCAAATGTGTGAGTTTCTATTGTTTCTTATTGCTTTGTTGCTAGGTAAGTGATGTAGCTGGTTGCCATTTTTAGCAGTGTCATGAGGTCATGTCTGTTTCCATGCCAACAGGTCCTCTTGGGAGAGTATTTTCAGTAGAAGCCCAGAGGTGGTGACTCCTTTGCAGCTCCAGTGTTGCCAGCGCCTGGTTGAACTATGTAAACACTGCCTGCTTCTGGTTTACAAATATGAAACAGAGACAAGAGGATCACTCTCAGGCATTGGTACCGACTGGGGAAATTCCAGGTACTTGCATATTTTTCATAGACTATGCGTTCTATACAAAGTGAAGCCACAGGCAGTTTGAAATTGAAAGTCTTTTTGTTTATGGCTAGGGAAAAGCTAAAGACTGAAAATTCATACATATTGTAGTCTACAAAATACTTTTAATTTGCACAATGTTTATTTTTATAGGCCCAAACAAACCTGAAGGGGTTAGAAATAAAGTACATGGGAATTAGATTATTTGGTTTACATGGTTTTGCTTTCAAAAGCTCAGTAAGAACAATGAAAAATGCTAATAAAATTATCACCCCCACCTCCCAATAGGGATATTTACCATTTAAACTTAAGCCTAACAGTTGAGAAAATGCCTTTATGCCTTTACTAATTCCTTCATCATAAAACAAATAAGTGGGGCTTGTAGGAATATATCCTAGAAAACCCAAAACACCAATCAGAAAGAATGTATGCACCTCTATGTTCATAGCAATACAATTTATAATACATAAGATCTGTATATACATATTGTATTATATATATATATATATATATATATATATATATATATACACACACACACACACACACACACACACACACACACACATTATATATATAATATATAATAGACCAAGTGCTATTAGTAGATGAGTGGATAAAAAAGCTGAGGTACATTTACACAATAGAATACTATGCTGCAGTAAAAAAGAAGGATCTCTTACCCTTTGAGACATCCTGGAGGGACCTGGAAAGTACCATGCTAAGTGAAATAACTCAGAGAAAGACAAGTATCACGTAATTTCACTCATATATGGAATCTAATTAACAAAATAAAGTGATGAATTGAGTGGATTCAGAGACATGAAACCATGGCACAGAGTACAGAATCTTGAAGGGAAGGCAGGGGAGGGTAAGTGGTGGTGTTGGGGTAATCAAACAAAGACCTTATATGCATATGTGCATAACCCATGAATGCAGACAGTGGGGAGGTGAAGACCTGGGGCAGGAGATGGGGTTTGGCTAGAGGAGGTCAATGGGGGGGAAAGGGGACATACCGTAATATTTCAACACTAAAGATTTAAAAAATAAAATTTGCAGAAAAACACAAAAAACAGAAAAGCACACAAATCAGTGGGATCTAAGTTTGATAAGTTCTATTTAAAACTTGAGTTTTTATAAATGTTACCCTGTTAAAATAGGTAGTTTTCAAACACACAAAAATAATGTTAAGTTGCAAAACATACAGAGTAAATAAGAAATACATTTTTGCACCACAAGACAATCATAGTTCCCATTAGATTTAAAGAAGACTATGACTTTATTTTTAGAACTAGAGCCCGGTGCATGAATTCATCCTTACAGGATGGGGCCAAACCATCCCAGATTGTGAGATGGCACAGGCCAGGCAGAGCGATCCCACTGGTGCACAGTTGGGCACAGATGGACACAGGAGGTTGACCAGCCAAGGAGGGACTTGGGGAGGCCTCCAGGGTATGCCTGGCCCATCTCACTCAGTCCCAATCAGCGGGACTCCAGTAGCAAGGTAACCTACCAGTTGGAGCATCTGCCCCCTTTATCGTCAGTGCACTTCATGATGACTGGTTGACTGTCTGCTCCCTGGGGGTCAATGCATATCATAGTGAGTGGTTGAGTGGCCTTAGTGCATTATTAGCAAATCACGCCTTTGATTGATTGAATGGCCGACCAGATGACTGGACACTTAGCATATTAGGCTTTTATTATATAGGATATGTAAGTTGTAGTCCTACTCAGAATAGAAAAGAGTAAACCACTAAAACTAAGTGATTTTTAATTGATTTTTAGAGAGAGAGGAAAGGAGAGAGAGAGAGAGAGAGAGATGTGAGAGCAACATCAATTGGCTGACTCTTACACACCCCTTACCAGGGATGGAGCCTACAACCCAGGTATGTATCCTGAGTGGGAATTGAACTGGCAATGCTTCAGTGCACAGAATGATGCCCAACTAACTGAGCCATACTGGTCAGGGCTATATTTGCCTAATTTAATCTGTAAAAATTAAGAGAGAAGAAAATAGAATTAACATAATTAAGGTTTATGACTATATTTTTCTTGATCACAGATTTGTAGGCTATTTCTGAATAATCTTTAAAGATTATATGGTACCCATTCTTTGGAAGAGAGTGGCCTTCATCCTTGGTCTCAGTAAAGCAATAATTGAATAGACATATCAAATGAAAGCCATTTCTCAGAGTTAGATTCATAACTAAACAAAAGGAACTGATATATAAACCCAGATGAGGCCCAGTGTACAGATTCGTGCACTAGTGGCATCCCTTGGCCTAACCTGTGCCTTCTCACAATCTGGGACCCCAGGCCAAGGGATCCCACCAGTGCACAAACCATGCAGCAGACCTCTAGTATGCATATAAGATCTTTGGTTAATCTCTTTCTGCCCCCTCCCCCCCTTCTGAGATTCATCAGTCTGTTCCATGTTTCCATCCCTGTGCAATGAATGTCTGCTCCCTGGTGTTTAGTGTGCATCATAGCTACTAGATGAATGGTCAAACTGTTAATTAAGGTTTTATATATAATCCTATGTAATAAAAGGCTAATATGCAAATCGACTGAATGACAGAACAACAGGTTGCTATGATGTGCACTAACCACCAGAGGGCAGATGTTCAGCACAGGAGCTGCCCCCTGGTGGTCAATGTACTCTTATAGGGGGAGCACTGCTCAGCCAGAAACCCTGAGCTGGGCTCATGGCTGATGAGTGCAGTGGGAGTGTTGGAAGCCTCTCCCTTCTCCATGACAGAGCTAAGGATGTCTGTCAGTTAGACATTCCCCGAGTGTAAGCGGTGCAGACCGGGCTGAGGGACTCCTACCCCCTGAGTGCAGAATTTCATGCACCAAGCCTCTAGTTTATATATAAAAGCCTAAGCGACTGGCCTACTAGCCAACCAGCCAGTAGCTATCATGCAAACTGAACACCAGGGGGCAGACACTCAATGCAGGAGCTGCCAAACTGCAGTTACTTGGCAGCAGCAGTTCTTGGGTGACGCACCTGGAACCAGAGAAAAGAGAGCCTGATTCTGAGGTGCATCACTCTCTCGCAATCTGTGACCTTTCGGGGGATGTTGGAGAGCTGGTTTCATCCTGATCTCCACAGGACAGGCTGAAGGACCCCACCAGTGCACAAATCCATGTACCGGGCCTCTAGTATATATCTATACTAATAAAAGGGTAATATGCTAATTAGACTGGGAGACCTTCTGGGAGACCTTCCAGACATTCTTCTGGACAAAGCCATGGTGGCGGGGCTGAAACAGAGGCAGTTAGGGGTGAGCAGGCGAGCAGGGGGGCAGTTGGAGGTGAGCAGGCCAATGGTGAGGGCAATTAGGGGTGATCAGACCAGAAGGGGGGACATTTGGGGGCAATTAGGCAGGTAGGAAGGTGAGCTATTAGGAGCCAGCGGTCCCAGATTGCAAGAAGTGTCTCAGATTGAAGAGGGTGCAGGTTGGGCTGAAATACACCCCCTTCTCCCTCTCCCCCCCCAATGCACAAATTTTGTGCACCAGGGCACTAGCGCGCACGCACACACACTACTAGATTTCTTGGGATCAATTCAGTATTTTGCCATAACTAGACTTACTTGGGAAGCTTTGGGATCTTCAAACACTTTCCAACCTCAACATCTCTGTTTCTCTATCTCATGTACTGAACATCCATATAATTTCATATCAGAATGAGGGGTTCTATGGCTAAAAACATTTTAAAAACCCCTGAGTTAGAACTATTGGCTTTGGTGATAGGGCCTAGGTATTTGGACAAATCCTCCTCTTATGACAACTAGAAAAGCTGAAAAAAAATTCCAAAACATTTGCTTAAAGACATCAGAGAGTATTAACCAGGTACTTGTGAATGAGTATGTACTTGTTAGAACTGAGTAATGCTTTTGACAGACTCTTGGGCCAAGGAAAGAAGTGGTAGTTTAGGGCCTGGCAAAGATTGTGTCCTTTGGAAATAGTCTAGATTCCTAGGAGTAATAGTGCTCCATAATTTTTCCAAAGCAAAAGTTGATAGAATTATAGGGAAGCAGACAAATCCATAACCAACCATAAAGGGCAATTTTAATATAATAATTAAACAAATTTTTAAAATATATTTTTATTTTAGAGAGGGAGAGGGAGAGAGAGATAGAAACATCAATGATAGAGTAAATCTTTGATTGGCTGCCTCCTGCATGCCCCCTACAAAGGATCGAGCCTGCAACTGGGCATGAGCCCTTGACTGGAATCGAACCCAGGATCCTTTAGTCCGCAGGCCAAAGCTCTATCAACTGAGCCAAACCAGGTAGGGCAATATAATAATTTTTATAAAAAATATAGAATATTTTTATATGATTAACAAATTTAACAATCATATGTAAAGGTAAATCAAATAATCTCAGAATACAGTATACCAAGTGCACCAGGAACTTTTTTGAAAGCCATATATACAGTGGAATAATAAAACATTTTTCAACAAATTTGAGAAAATTGAAATCATACAGAGTATTTTTTCTGACCACATGCCATTAAGCTAGAAGCAATAATCTATATAATAAAAGTCTAAGCTACTTTTATGGTGGAATGACCAGAACAACTGACTGCTATGATGTGCACTGACCTCTAGGGGGCAGGCGCTCAATGCAGGAGCTGTTCCCTGGTGGTCATTGTGCTCTCACAGGGGGAAGTGCTGCTCAGCAAGAAGCCAGGCTCATAGCTGGTGAGCATAGCAGTGGTGGTAGGAGCCTTGCCCACCTCTGTGGCAGCACTAAGGAGCATTGAGCCAAAGGGTAAAGAGCAGTGAGCAGGCAGACATCCCCTGAGGGGTCCCCAGATTGCGAGAGGGCACAGTGTACGAATTTTGTGCACCAGGCCTCTAGTAAAATATAATCAGAAAAACTCACATTTTGAAAAGAGAAAAAATATATTTTTAAATAACCAATGAATCAAAGAAGAAATAATGACATGGAAAAATATTTTGAACTGAATAATCAT